TGCTTGCCACGCGGCGTCGTACGCTCCATCGTCCAATCCATATACCGTGGATCATGAACAAGTCTGCTCAATTTTTCTTCCTTTTCTTTCCAAGGATCAATAAGGGTGTAAAACACATAGTTTAGCATTTTTCACTTATGTAGACACCAATCCGACTGATATTCATGTAGCTCAGAAGAAAGAGAAATAAGGAGCAGAGAAGAGAGTCTGAAAACTTATTTCCACCGCGACGACATAGCTATGTTTTCTCTATCCCTGATTCCTCCGATCACGTCTCCGATTCATGGATGACAAGTTATGGATACGTGCGGCAAGGAAGGCAAAGGGAAGGTTCAATCTCTCCAGATCCACACCGAACACTAACTTAAGAAATTCCGGAACTCATGATGTTGATTGCACATTCCGATCGGATTTCAGCCTAATCGGGAACGGCTCCATGAGCTCGATGCTGCGGAGATGATGTTCCTAAGTATTTGGCCATGCCTTAGTTCTGTGCGATCAAGTCCAAGCAAGGCGCGGTGACCAGAAAGGCAAAGGAAAGTACATGGGACACGATGCGATCGAAGTTTGGGAAGAAGTTTATATCCACTTATTAGACCCATGCCTTCAAATCCTCCTTAATTTTTGTCTAAAATTGGTAAATTACAAGTTATGGATATCAGGACGTACACAATATTAACTATAGGGGTAGTTTTCATGTTTGTTATGCACCAACTAATCATAATGTTGGTTAGAGGAAACATTTTCTTCAATCATAGACGAAAGAAAAAGGAATAAGTGCACTGAAAGTCCTAGAACTGATCACGAAAATGCAATTGAGTCCTAAAATTTTCAAAAAATGCAATTAAATCCTAAAATTAGCCATGAAAATATAATCGAGTCTTAAAACTTTCAACGGAAGGAATTATATATAGACTATATATAATTGAAAAGATATAGGATTCAAAGTGATTAAAATGTGAAGTTGAAGCTTTTAGTGTGGAATCTGTAATGCCGTATCATCGGATGTTAAACGAGCTTGCACGACATCCAATTCAAAATTCAAAAAAAATTCTGCTTTTCGTCCCCTTTATTTCTTATGTTTTTTCTCTAATCAACTTTATATATTTTTGGTTTGTTTGATCAAATTTTTATATTTTTACAAAATTTCTAATCAAATCCTTGCTAAACCAAATCTAACCAACTCCGGCTGAAGTAGCCGTCAAGGACAATGTCGAAGTATGATTGGATAAAATTTAGCCAATGCGGAGACTGCATAGATGCTATTGTGGAATAATTTAGCCAATGTGAATGACGTTGGAGAATGATGTCTGATAAAAAGAAACTTGGGGACTCAAAGCTAGTTCATAATTTAATGTTGGCAAATAACTCAAATAAGAGTTGGTGACCCAAAACTAGTTGGTAATTTAATTTAACAAAAATTAGTAAATTACTCTAATTTATGTCAGTAATTTCATATTGTTATAGCTAGCAATATCATCTAGATGGGGTGAAGAGTTGATTCTAAGAACTCTTGACAATTTAATGCAGAAGTAAAACAATCAAGTTGAGTATAATCAAACTCGAGTGAAGTCAAAGTTTGAATATTGACAATGATAATATGATATTCACGGGCGTGCAAAATTCTATAAAAAAATAATGAACCAGAGTTTGAGAGATAGAAGCCATTGTACACTGAATTTATAGTGGTTCAGCTTAGAGTAAGCATACATCCACTCTCTCACGTTGGCAACCTACAAGCTAGATTTCACTAGTCAATCAATAAGAGATTACAAAAGTGAGTGATAATACTCCGGTTTGTGATAGATCTCACTATATCACATAGTCGCTCTTTCAATGCCTCTCAAGGATTACACTTTTTAATTCAAAAAAAAAAGGATTACACTTTATAGCTCACGAAGGACAAGTATGTAAAACTAAAGTCCTCTTGAACTTTGAAATTTTTTATTCAGGATCTCTTCTTTCTCTTTGATACATTGGTCTCCTTTTATACTCTTCCGCTTCCAATATATCTGTTGGACAATTTTTAGAGGATCACTCTCCAAACAACCTGTTGGACAAAAGTGCAAAAAGAAGATTGAGTAGTCATTGAGAGATAAGATCTGAATCTTCGTTGATTTGGCCGCCCATACCAACAAATCTTGGTTTTCATAAGTAGAGTACTTCGATCAAGGTAGATAGCTTGTCTATAGAGTGATTGCTAATCAATCAAGATATATTGCCTGAAGAATTTTGTTGCAAAACAATCTTTAAGATTGAGGATCAATTAGTGCTTTCTATATAGGAAGTCCGAGCCAGATGACTAACTGTGACGATATTAGTAATGGAGTTTGTGTTTGAATACATATAACCATAAGTAGATTTTGTAATCTATTGCTCTGATGATATGTATGCAATAATATTGATAATATCCATGAAGTGACTATCTTAAGCTTCAACCGCGATATTCAAATAGCAGTATATAGAGTTTGAATATAATCAAGATTGATATGAACTTCTCTTCATGAGTAGTTTTCGAAACAAAACTCTTCAGTGCATTTATCATATTCAAGATAAACTATGGACGGTTTTGTTGTCTTCAAAATATACTATGAGGTTTTCTCAACACATATAAAAATTTGTAAATTCGAAGTGGTGACAAGTTAGTACAGAAATTGCTACTTTGCAAATTATAAGAAGTTGGTGATTTCATAAAAGCACTATTAAGTTACAGAAGTTGCCACTTTGCAAATTAGGTTTTCTCAACTCTTCGGTTGTTTACTTTCACGAACAATGTTTTGATACTCATAAATATTTATTGAAATTTATTAGTGCGTAAAAAAGATCCATGCGTTTTTTGGACACGAAACACTAATATTCTTCGAGAGATAACCGAATTGTACATTACTTTAAGGACCATAACATCCGATCTAGATCCAAGGTTCATTACTAATATTTTTGGAGCTTTCCAAACAACATCAGGGACTAAACTCCAAATAAAAGTTGCTTTCCATCCCTAAACATAAACCAATGGCCAATTAAAAAGAACGATACAACGATGAAAAATATGTTGTAGGTAGTAGGGAGGGACAAATGCCCATTTGCGTTTAATTGGATTTGCCGGGAAAAGTACCAAAAAAGTCTTAAACCTATTGCATTGATACCATTTCAGTCCTAAATCTTTAATTTTATCAATTTAATTCTAAACCTTTTCACATTGACACCAATTTAGTCTATCTAACCAATTTAGGCTGGAAATCATTGACATGGATGTTGGTGGTCCTACGTGGCACCGCCGACGCTGATGTTAACAAATTTTATAATTTTTTAATAATTTTTTCATAGTTTTTTAATGTTTTTTTCTCTTTGTTTTTCCTTTTCCTAGAATTGGTTGGTCGGCGAGGTTGCCGGCCAACCATTGCTAGCCACATGCTGGTCTAGGCGAGGGTCGCCGCGCCCTCTCCGGCCACTGGCGAGGGCCGAAACCCTCGTCTGATGACCAGCAAGGGCGCAGCAGCCCTCGCTCGAACCAACATGTGGCTGGTGACCTCGCTGGCCAAACAATTCTGGGAAAAGAAAAAAAAAGAGAAAAAAAGAAAAAAAACATTTAAAAAATCTGAAAAAATTATTAAGAAATTATAAAATTTGTTTACGTCAGCGCTAGCGGTGCCACGTAGGACCGCCGATGTCCACATCAGCAATTTCCGGCCTAAATTGACACAAATGTGAAAAGATTTAGGACTAAATTGATACCAATGCAATAAGTTCATGACTTTTTTAGTACTTTTCCTTGGATTTACCTACAACAATAGTTATCGACAGAGTATGATATGGCTCACTCCGAATCGATGTACGGCGGAGTGTGTAGAACCCCTATTTGCTGGAATGAAGTAGGAGAAACGCTGACAGACTAGGCTAAAGTTAGAACAAGAGAGCTGTTAGAGCAAGAAGAAATCGACTTAGATAAGCGCAGAGCAAATGTGAGATGCTCCGTTGACAAGCGCCAACATAGAGTATCACCAATCAAAAGTATCTCTCGTTTTGATAGGAAGGACGAGTTGAACGCTCTTCTTATTGGACCTATCAAAATTCTTGAGTGAATTGGTGAGTGGCATACGGATCGCGGCTTTACCGTCGAGGCTTTCCAATGTATACGACGTTTTCCTGTCTTCGTCAAGAAAGTATGAATCACGTTCTACCACATACTGGATTTCGAAACGGTCGAGGTTGATGAAAAGGCGACATACATGGATGGAGAGGTACAGATTTTGGACCGAAGAGACTGGGTGCTGCAAAACAAAGGCTATTCATTCCGTCTAAATTTCGAGGATCTAATTTCTTTTAAGAGGGATAGAGTTGCGATGAATGATTTGCTGCTTTTTATTACATCAGCAATAATTGGGATGTTGTATAGAAATGAAGTTCTCGTTGTTCATATGAGAGTTAGGTAACAACCCCTTGAATCTCGGACCAAATTTCACTTTTAAGAAGCCCGACTACATCTATGTTCCTTATCATTACCCATTTCCACGAGAGGTGATCATTGGACGGGCCGATCAGACCTAGGAGTATTTGTCCAAGTCCGCCTACCATACAACTTACATACGGATGTTTGGGCCGGGTCGAGTTTCCCCGCAAACTATTAAAGCAAACCTACCAGCATCTTCCGATCTAAAGTTCTGTAGAGAAGGTCCATGAGAGCCCATGTGTTTCAGCAACTGGGTTACAACTGCTCAAATAAACAATGGGCATAACCTACATGACTTGGAAAGGTGAATGTAAACTCTTGTGCCATGCCATGAACTTCCTCACCTCATTCAAATCTAAACTGAATCCTCTCTCTCACTTCAATGATTCGATTTCACTCCCTAAAATAATGTAACCCTTTAGATAGAAACATGTTGGAACCGAATCCACATAAAACAAACTCTGTCCAACCAAAAGAAATCAACATCAACAACCGAAATAACTCAAAAAGAAATGTAGTTGCTCGTCGTGAGAAGCATATTGCCTTCCTGCAAAGATATCCTCCGCAGCACTCTCCTACAAAACCGTTGGAACAGACACCCCATAAACAGACATCCTCTGACTCAGTCTCCTGCCATGTTGCATCCAATCCCACCGCTCCATCGCCATTTTCTTTCTTGATTTCCTCAATTCTTTTTTGTCTTCCTTCTGTCTCCGTTTCTTTTACGTGCAACCCATTTTCCTACACCAAATCTTTCACGTTCAATCATTGTTCCAGCCCCTCCTTGGTTAAGATTCCGAGTTCCTCCCCACATTTAAGTTCCCAAAAAGAAAATGACCCCAGAATCTGCTGTTCATTGGCGAGTTCTTTGTACGCATAGGCTTCTTGATCTTCCCAATGTCGCCGATTCATGAAACTAGGCCATGATGATGATGAGTCCTTAGCGTGTTCAGCAAATGATCTGAAGGTGAGTGCCTGATGCAGATTTGTGCGATAGAGAACTACAGAATACAATCCTAGGAGGATCAGAAGACTCAACAAGAATTGGAGCTTTTGTTTTGAGGGTGTTGGGCAATGGCATCTCTTTCGAGCCAACCGTCCAAGAAGGCAATCCGGAGCCCTGGCTCGGGCAATTCCCAGGGCGGCAGCCGTAGTTCGACCGGGCAGACGGTGAAGTTCGCGAGGCGGACCTCAAGCGGGAGGTATGTCAGTTTGTCCAGGGAGGACCTCGACATGTCGGGGGAGCTATCGGGGGACTACATGAACTACACCGTGCACATCCCGCCGACCCCGGATAACCAGCCGATGGACTCGTCAGTGGCCGTGAAGGCCGAGGAGCAGTACGTCTCAAACTCCCTGTTCACGGGGGGATTCAACAGCGTGACGCGTGCACACCTGATGGACAAGGTGATCGAATCTGAGGTGAGCCATCCCCAGATGGCCGGGGCCAAGGGCTCCTCTTGCTCGATGCCGGCTTGTGACGGCAAGATCATGAAGGATGAGCGCGGCATCGACATCACTCCATGCGAATGCAGGTGCACCGTCATCCTTTTCGACCTAGAATCACTCGATCATATGTTTCCTTGAGGCTTTAGTGTCAATGTGATACAAAATATAAGATGTTATGAATTGCAAGACTTGTAGGAAGGTTGGTGTGTCTCGCAACTCCGTGAAACTAGAGCAAATTGTGGCAAGATTGATTTTTGGAGTTCTAACTTATTAAGGAAGACCCATTTGATAATTTGAAATGGAAGACTCATTGGAAGGCCTGATTCTATAAAATGAGTCGGTTTCTGGATATTATATCATAGAATATGAGTGGTTTCTTCTTTTGCTTAAGCTGAAAAACACGAGCTTTGATGTTCAGGTTCAAAATCTGTAGAGACTGCTATTTAGATGCTCAGAAGGACACCGGTCTGTGTCCCGGGTGCAAGGATCCGTACAAATCAGCAGATTACGATGACGATGTGCCGGATTTCTCGAGCGGGGCGCTGCAATTGCAGCCCCCGGACAAGAGGGACACGAACAACATGACCATGATGAAGAGGAACCAAACTGGCGAGTTCGACCACAACCGGTGGCTGTTCGAAACTAAAGGCACTTATGGCTATGGCAGTGCGTTCTGGCCTGAGGACGACATGTATGGGGATGACGGCGATGAGGGAATGCACGCAGGCATGATGGACTCGATGGACAAGCCATGGAAGCCCCTTAGTCGGAGATTGCCCATACCTAACGGCATCATCAGCCCCTACAGGTTAGAGACCTAATCATCGCGATCATCACAATCACTGTTTGCACATGTTGTTCAATGATCACGGTTCATTATCAGATAATTGTGACCTATATGACCAGGTTGCTGATCTTGGTCCGATTCGTGGTGCTTGGCTTCTTCCTGCAATGGCGAATAACGCATCCGAACGAGGATGCGGTCTGGTTGTGGCTCATGTCGGTCGTGTGCGAGGTCTGGTTTGCATTTTCCTGGATCCTCGATCAGATTCCTAAGCTTTGCCCAATCAACCGCTCCACAGACCTTCAGTCCCTCCACGACAAGTTTGACCTGCCGTCGCCGTCCAATCCCACAGGCCGCTCCGATCTTCCCGGTGTCGACTTGTTTGTCTCTACAGCAGACCCCGAAAAAGAGCCTCCACTTGTCACAGCAAACACGGTCCTCTCTATCCTAGCCTCCGATTACCCGGTGGAAAAGATAGCCTGCTATATTTCTGATGATGGAGGTGCCCTTCTCACATTCGAGGCAATGGCAGAGGCTGCAAGCTTTGCCGATTTGTGGGTCCCTTTCTGCCGGAAGCACAACATCGAGCCTAGGAATCCCGAGAGCTACTTCAGTATCAAGTCTGACCCCACCAAGAACAAGAGCCGATCAGATTTCGTCAAAGACAGGAGAAAGATGAAGAGGGAGTACGACGAATTTAAGGTGAGGATCAACGCACTTCCTGAATCAATCAGGAGGAGATCAGATGCGTTCCATGCGAGGGAGGAGATGAGGATGCTGAAGCACATGAGAGAGAGCGGGGGCGATCCGCTGGAGCCAATCAAGGTCCAGAAAGCGACATGGATGGCCGATGGAACTCACTGGCCCGGCACATGGGCCATCTCGGCAGCGGAACATGCCAAAGGTGATCATGCAGGAATTCTTCAGGTATATTGTAGACCACATCTTCATTTTCATGTTCATCTATCGGTTATCATACCGTAGTTTACGTTCTTCCAATGTTGAGCCAACAAACTTGTGTTCTTTGAAAAAAAAATGAGAAGGTGATGTTGAAGCCACCCAGCCCCGATCCGCTGATGGGGAATGCCGAGGATAAGCTCATTGACTTCACGGATATAGACACCCGACTCCCCATGTTCGTTTATGTATCGCGAGAGAAGCGTCCGGGCTACGATCACAACAAGAAAGCAGGGGCCATGAATGCCCTGGTACGAGCATCAGCTGTATTATCCAACGGCCCATTCATTCTCAATCTTGATTGCGATCACTACATCTACAATTGCAAAGCTATTCGCGAAGGAATGTGCTTCATGTTGGATAAAGGCGGTGAAGACATCTGCTACATTCAGTTCCCCCAGAGATTCGAAGGCATCGATCCTTCTGATAGATATGCGAATCGTAACACCGTGTTTTTCGACAGCAACATGCGTGCCCTGGATGGCGTGCAGGTATATTACATTTATCACACCCAAGAATTTCCGTTCCTGGAAATAAGACTCTTTCTGCAGCTCATTTAGTTCGTCACAACTTTTGTGTCATATCAGGGGCCATTTTATGTCGGCACAGGTTGTATGTTCAGGCGCTTTGCTTTATACGGCTTTGATCCTCCACATCCTAAGAAAATGCAAATTAAAACCGACTCCGAGACCCAAGCCTTAAACGCCACCGACTTCGACCCCGACCTGGATGTGAATTTACTGCCCAAGCGATTTGGAAATTCTACGATACTGGCCGAGTCTATCCCAGTTTCTGAGTTCCAAGCACGCCCACTAGCCGATCATCCGTCTGTGTCATATGGAAGGCCTCCTGGAGCTCTCCGCATCCCACGCGATCCACTCGATGCTGCCACTGTTGCTGAAGCCGTGTCGGTCATATCTTGTTGGTATGTCCTCTGCTTATACTCGCATACCCAATTGTTCTCAGAATGAGTTCAAATTCCTAGCAAAAAATGTCGGCTGAAAATTGCAGCTAAAATTCGATGTTACTGCTCTCGTGGTATTAGGACATGTAACTGAAACGGTTTACTATGAACAACAGGTATGAAGACAAAACGGAATGGGGTGATCGGGTCGGCTGGATTTACGGATCGGTCACCGAGGATGTCGTGACGGGATATCGCATGCACAATCGTGGATGGCGCTCAATCTACTGCGTGACTAAACGTGACGCGTTCCGTGGGTCAGCTCCAATCAACCTAACCGATCGGCTCCATCAAGTGCTCAGGTGGGCCACGGGTTCGGTGGAGATTTTCTTCTCGCGGAACAATGCTCTTTTAGCCTCTCGAAAGCTCATGTTCCTGCAGCGCCTATCGTATATCAACGTCGGCATCTATCCATTCACATCTATATTCTTAATCGTCTATTGCTTCCTCCCCGCTCTATCCCTTTTCTCGGGGAGCTTCATCGTGCAGACTTTAAACGTGACGTTCTTGATCTACTTGCTCATCATTACGCTATGCCTGGTCGGCCTCGCCATCCTGGAGGTGAAATGGTCCGGCGTGGCGCTCGAAGAGTGGTGGAGGAACGAACAGTTCTGGCTCATCTCCGGGACGAGTGCCCACTTGTACGCCGTGGTCCAAGGCCTCCTGAAAGTCATAGCAGGGATCGAAATCTCATTCACTCTGACATCCAAATCCGCAGCAGACGACGAAGAAGACATCTTTGCGGATCTGTATCTGGTGAAGTGGTCTTCTCTGATGATCCCGCCGATCGTCATCGCGATGGTCAACATTATAGCCATCGCTTTCGCGTTCTCCAAGACGATATACAGCACTGTCCCTCAGTGGAGCAAGTTCATCGGAGGAGCTTTCTTCAGCTTCTGGGTGTTGGCTCACTTGTATCCTTTCGCCAAGGGCTTGATGGGGAGGAGAGGGAAGACGCCGACGATCGTTTTCGTCTGGTCCGGCCTCATAGCAATCACCATATCCTTGATGTGGATCGCCATCAACCCACCACAGGGAGGCACGACAGAGTCCGGCGGGTCCACTTTCCAATTCCCTTGAGCCAGGGAAGTAAATGACCAACCCTTCGCTTTAAAAATGCGGAAACGGTCGGTACGACAATCTATCTTGATCGGCTAGCGAAATTCTAGGGGCTAAGATAATTTGTTTAAGCAGAGAATTTAGCGAAATTTTGTTTTGTGCTATGGGTAGAGAAGGCGATCCGTGTTCTCGTTTTCGTGTTCGTCTCTCATCAGATTCGGAAGCATATAGAGCATACTAAAGGCGGGTCGACCCCGGAATGTGTCGAGAATCGAAAGAGCTGGAAAGAACAATTTGTGATCTTCAAGGGAAGGGAAGTCGAGCTGAGTATACTTAACAGAACTGTCTTGCCTCTCTTTCTCTGTCTTTCCTTCTCTTGGGGTTTACTGAATATGTGCAAGAGAAGTTTAGCATTCTATGAAGAGTATAGTTTGTCAGTTGTGCACTGCATAAGGCTCAACACATTGTATTCTTCTTGCAAGTGTCTCTGCATCGTTGTTCATTCGGTTCAGTAATCAATTTGATGAACTCGAACAACTGTATAAGCCTGGCCGGAAATTTGCAGACAGGATTAATACTATTGTCAATCGATTGCCGGAAACAGTGTTGATGGAGAGAAAACGGTACGGAGGTCTCGATACGGATGTGATCGGCGATCTTATTGTTGCTCGGATCGCCCAGACCGCAGCGCGCTATTGCAGGTTCGGGCAAACGGTGTTGCTAAAGGGACATATAGAGGACGCCGGTCCCTATGTTCGTTGCTTGGAAGCAATCGCGTACCACATTGATCGAGGACGTAGCGAAAATGGCAAAGCCCCTCCTTTGTTGTCCGAATTGAACCCCCTAATCACGGATGATAAAAATTTGGCAGTCTAATGAGATCGCCAGGGCCGGGGCCAGGTGCCCACTGTCGGGCAGGGGCAATTTCGTCCCGAACCTTCCATTTCATTTCAATTCATTTACGCGGCGGCTCGTGACCTGGTAGCACAACTAAATCCTAAACCCCAAAATCGAGGGAACGTAAACCCTAAATTGAATTTTCATAGAGAATCATAGGTAAAGATTGTGAGAATCCTAGTGGAGCAATCGAACGAGTTCTTAGAGACGGAAATTTTAGGACGAATTTGCCCCCCGCCAGCAGGGCATTTTGGGGCATTTACCAAAAAACCCTAAAAACCCTAATCGCTCGCCAATGCATCGAGGCGACCGAGCTCGAGAGCTCGTGTGAAGATCTCGAGCGGCATGGAAAGCATACAGAAGGCCGTGCGCGACATGGTGAGGGACGTGAAGTTGAGCACCTCGCCCTCGCCGTCGCCGCCGTCGTCCGGAGGCGCGCGTTTCGGCGGAGAAGGAAGGGCTCCCGGAGTCGGGGTCGCTCTGTCGGCGCCGGAGCATCCTCCTGTTCTGTTCAGCAGGAATCCTCGGTAATTTCACGACCCCCCCCCCCCCCCCACTTTCCAATTTCGTACCGACCGTGGTTTTGATGCATTTCGAAGTAGCGCAGCTTGTCTGGGCAAACGAAGTGGGGCTAGGGTTCGATGTTGTTGGAAGGGCTTAGCTTGGTTTTGGGTTCTGGATGATTGTGGGTGTGAGGAGTTGAGATGCAGGGGAAGAAGTGGGAATAGGTTGGTCGGGGGAGGAGATTGTTCTTTGAGGACGTGATTTCATAATCACAGCATGGTGGATTGTCCTTTCAGCTCAAATTGCTTTCTAAATCACGGCCAATGCAAAGTCTTTGTTTCGGCGAATTCAGTCCGGCGATTGCAAGATAGTTGGTGAATTGTGCTTTCAGTTTTAGTTTGCATGCAGTCATTGTTTTGGCTAATTCAGTCTTTTCGAAAGAAGCAATTTTTAACTTCTTGGGGTATCGCGCATTGTCGTGATTCCTCGGCTTTCGAAGTTCTGGCGTGTAAACAAGCATATGCTCATGTCCTTTGGCTTTAGTTGCCTTACTCTTTGTCTTAAATATCACTTCGTCTGATATTCGCTTCAAGATGGAGAATGTTTTCCTGATGTGGACTATACCTGCTATATGTTGAGCTATGTTGATGCTCTTTTTAGGAGTGGTTGTTGAACATCTGCAAAGTGATTCTTTCGTAATTCATCCGAGTCTATAGTGTTTTTGCTACACGAGACCGGAATAAGTCCATGATTGCATTTTTTTACCATTGTTGTCTTACTGCAGAGGGGTGGTATCTTTGGGGACTTGTTCGAAGCTCTGTGCAATTTCCCTCGTTGCTGGCATTTTCTTGGGCTACACTTTAAAACGTCGGGTCCGAGGTTGGGTTTCAAAGCTCCTCAAGAGATTGAAAGATGATTGATGCTGGCTCTGTCCTGCGTGAATGTGGTGCCCGACTTGGAGGTTCGTCACGGAGCGAAATCTGTTGTGACATATTGACATATACAAGCTCCTTTGTTGCCTTGAATTACAACATAGATCAGCCAAATATACTTTCCACCTCCTCGTGCGATACCTTATCTCTCATCTGTGGGAACAATTATCTCCTCCTTCATGCTCTGGTATTTTCTAATGATTCAAACTAGAAGTGGTCATGGGGCGGGCCTTGGCAACCTGAGGATCAGGCCTAACTTATTGCCTGGGTTAGCCATCACTCATTTGTCTGGTCTCTGCGTCTTCTTCTTCAATTTGATGCTTCCTTTCGCAGATTTTTGCAGTTTATACTCTTATCTAGGAAGCAGATTACTGTTAAAGTTGAACAGATTGTTTGAAGATTAAGCATGGTGCTAGTTTCCAAACCATCATATCCACTGTATCCAGACATCTCTTGGTACTGATTGTTCAAGACCTTTGTGGCTTTAAAATGTTCCCCTGCCTATGAGGAAGTCGGCCTGATATCTGTTTGTGAGTTTGTGGGTGCACTTGTGCTCGTGCGCTCTGTCGCTCGCGTTGTGCAGCAAGTTAGCGAAATATCTCTGTCCATTTAGCTTCAGGCGGCACAAGAGGGTCGCCACCTGCGCCTGATTTGAAAATCTTGTAACATTTCACACTCGAAAATGCCGGGCGGCAATTTCTTGCAAATTAAGTACGAATTGAGAAGGGTCTCTGGACAAGATGAATTCCTAACTCAAAAAATTACTGTCTGTTTGCAATTAGCATTATAATGAGCTAGGATATGTTTTTGTGGGGAAAATTATCCAAAAAATCTTAAATTTATTGTACGACGGTCAGCTCAGTCCTAAATTTTTTAATTTTGTCAATTTAGTCTAAAATCTTTTGATGATTTGTCAATTTAGTCATAAACTTTTTAATGATGCCAATTTAGTCCTAAACATTTTGACGATTTACCAATTTAATTCTAAACATTTTGACAATTTGTTAATGCAGTCATTTCGGTCAATTATCCAAATAATAGGTTTATGACTGAATTGGCAAATATTTAAACGGTTTAGGACTAAATTGATGCAATTGAAAGGTTTAGAACGATTTTGGCAAATCATCAAAAGATTTAAGACTGAATTGGCACAATTAAAAAGTTTAAGAATGAATTGGCCGTCATACGATAAGTCTAGGATTTTTTGAACAATTATCCCTGTTTTTGTGTGATCATGAAGGAACTGGGGACATTGCACTAGGTTAACGGATTGCAAGCTTGCTCGCGGCAAACATTACTCGCTTGAAATACCTTTTCACCTCCACGAATGAACAAACGCGTAGAGAATGCAGAGGTGTCGATATGGTAAGTGAATCGAGTAGTACCAAGATTAATCTACAAAATATATATTAAGTATGGTAAATCATAGGTGGATGGATATAAAACAATTAGGTCATTTTCAATATTAGTAAAAGTTCTATTTTATTTGCTACTGGTTCTACCATAATTTTTTGGGATATGTTCACTAGAAGTTCTAAAACTTATCGCAAAAGTGCAATTGAGTCCTAAAACTTACAAAAAGTATAATCGAGTCCTAAAACTTGTCAAATTTATTCAATCTAGTTCTAAAGTTAACACCGTTAATTTTTCTAACGGAAAATGCTGACGTGGCATTTTAAAATGAATTTCTCTCTCCTACATGGCATTTTTATATTTTTTATTCAAATCATATTTGAATTAAATTAAAAGGCTAAAAATTAAAAACAAAACTGGAAAAAAGAAGAAGAGAGAAGCAGCTTCGCCGGAGGGGGGCCGGCGAGGCTAGCCTCGGGCGAGGGCGCCCAGATCTAGGCGACGCCAGCCCTCGCCTGGGGCCGGTGACCATCGCCCGCCCAGATCTGGGTTGAGGGCCCCCAGATCTGGGCGACGTCGGCCCTCGCCCAAGACCGGCAAGCCTCGCCGGCCTCAGGCAAAGGGCAGGCGTCGCCCATATCTGGGTGCCCTGGCCTTGGGCCGGCGAGGCCTAGCCCGGGCTGGCAAGGGCCGACGACCACAGCCGGCTCCCCTCCGGCGATGGGCGGCGGCTGCAACTCCCAACTTAGCCTTAGTGTTTTTTTTTTTCAATTTTATTTTTTTAAGTAATTTTTAGATTTTTTTAATTCAATTTATATAAGATTTGAATAAAATAATAATAATAAATGCCACATAGAAGAGAGAAAATCATTTTAAAATGCTACGTTAGCATTTTCCGTTACACAAATTGACGGTGTTAACTTTAAGACTTGATTAAACCAATTTGACAAGTTTTAGGACTCGATTGTACTTTTTATAAGTTTTAAGATTCAATTGCACTTTTGCAACAAGTTTTAGGACTTCTAGTAAATATATCCCTAATTTTTTATAGACTAGAAAAACAATGATGAATTTAGCTTCGAACGTGATTAAATTATTGAGTTCGATTGTATTTATGTTATTATTTGACTTTGTAATATTTTAATTTGTTATTTGACATGATCTAGGCAATTGTATTTGCACGTGATGAGTGACAAATAATTATTAGTAGTTAAACTTATATTTGATTTGCCATATGTAATACGGAAACTTAAGGAATTCTTTATTCCTGATCTCGAATTTCTATTCATTTCCTACGTTGACCAAATATCAAATAAAAAGCGAAAAACGTCACAATAATCGAAAACTATTCCCACTTGGATAACCAGAACTCCGAACACATTTTCTTCGGCCTAATTCTCTGAAAAAACTCCAACTTTAGATCAAGTCCCAAATCTATCTTGAACTTTTTTTTTGTCTAAAAAAATACCTCAAACTTTAGGTCCAGTCCCAAATATGCTTCGAACTTTTTTTTTATCTCGGAAAAAATTCCAAACTTTAAGTCAAGCCCCAAATCTGCCTAAATTTTGTTTTGTGTAAAAAAATCATCAAAATTCAATTTATTTTCAAAAATATAACCACATGATCCAATCAACTTGATGTGGCACTTCCACGTCGATAACAAATCCACATTAACAAAGTAATGGGATTTTTTTTTTAGACAAAGAAAAGTTCGGGGTAAATTTGGACTCAACTTAAAAATTGGGTTTTTTTATATTAAAAAAAGTTTTTTGGGGTGGATTTGTTATCGTCCCTCACTTTCATATTCTAGATCGGTCCAATTTTTATTGAGTTGGGTTTGTTATTGAATTGGAAATGCGACTCGGCCTGTACCTATCGTCACATTACTTTGCTAATGTGAATTTATTATCGACGTCAAAGTGCCATGTCAAGTTAGAACTGGATAATGGGGTATATTTTTGAAAATAAAAAAAATTTACTGATTTTTTTACACAAAACAAAATTTGGGGCAGATTTGGGACTGAAGTTAAAGTTTAGGTTTTTTTCTGAGACAAAAAAAAGTTCGAGGCAGATTTGGGACTGTATCTAAATTTTGAAATTTTTTTCTGAGATAAAAAAAAGTTCGGAGTAGATTTTGGACTTGACCTAAAGTTGAAGGGTTTTTTTGGAATTCACCCGTTTTTCTTCTGTCACCAAAACTTCAGACTTGTATAAATAACCCAAAAATACCCTTCGTCATAGTTTTGTTCAAGATTGCTATTAAAGATTCAACATGGTGGCTCATCGGAAAATGGCAAGCAAACGAAGCTAACATGGATCTGAAAAATTTCTTTAAGAAACTAAATTTTACCCAATGTGACTTCAATACATCAAACTTTTTTTCGTGTCACAAATACACCAAAATTTAGAGTTAATACCTCAAAAAATTACAAACTATATTTATTTCAAATAGAAAAAGGAAAATAAAAAAAGAAAGAAAAAGAAAAGAGCCCCACATTATCACCAAAGAGCAAGATAGCCGTCAGATCGAGCCTGTACGCATCACACAGAATACATCTCCGTCTCCCCTCGCAAGCATAAAAATTACAGGCATCACAGATAAGGTTTCAGAGACAAATGCAAACGTTCATCTTCTGAAGTCCAGGATATGGCCGCAGGGTCGAAGAAGAAGACGACCCTTTTCCCTCTCTTTTCCCTCTTCCCAACTGGAGTTTAAACATCGCCTGCCAATTCGGATACAATCAGAAGCTCCCTTCAATAACCGACCTGTAAGCTCTCTCAGCGCGAGAATGGCGTACGATTCAATTCATGATGTTGAGTGTTTATTTTCATGAATGATAGGGGTTTTTGGATTCCTCAATCCTCTAGTGGAAATGGGTTTCTTTTAACCGTGGTTTCTGGTATTGTTGGCTAGGTTCTAAGCAAGTGAAGGGCTGATTGAGTGCTGAAACTTGGTTACGTCTGATTGCTGTATCTTTTGCTGGACTTGTGTGTTAGATGACATTGTTCTTGTTCATATGGTACTCTCTCATTTATTGCTTGGCTAAAAGAGTGAAGGGCTGATTGAGTGCTGAAACTTGGTTACGTCTGATTGCTGTATCCTGTGCTGGACTTGTGTGTTAGATGGCATTGTTCTTGTTCATATAGTACTCTTTCAATTATCGCTTAGCAAAAGAGTGAACTGTCTTCATGTACATGCCATTTACCAATTGCCGCAACGTTAAATGTTCTGCTCTCTTTGTACCGAACTGTGAATAGGATGATAACCAGAGGAATTTCATGTTCTCACAGACAGCATGGAATGCAATTCAAGCCAAACTGGCGGTGGCATCATGTGGTTCTTCCGCAACCGGGGTTTCGACGATAAAAGTATAAAGGAAATGTTCAAAAGGTGCAAGCGCCTTGAATCCGTGCAAAAGGAAAGGGCTTCTGAAAATTGGGAGTACTTGAGGAGCATTGGCATTGAGGAGAGGAAGCTTCCTCATATTGTTTCTAAATGCCCGAAAATCCTCGCACTTGGCCTCAACGAGAAGCTTATGCCGATGGTACAATGCCTCGCTACACTAGGAACAAGACCTACTGAAGTTGCCTCTGCCATTGCGAAGTTCCCTCACATACTTTCCCATAGCGTGGAAGAGAAGCTCTGTCCGCTACTGGCCTTTTTTCAGGCAATGGGGGTCCCCGAAAAGCAAGTTGGGAAAATCGTTTTGCTTAACCCGAGGCTCATTAGCTACAGCATTGAGTCGAAGCTAACGGAGACTGTGAACTTTCTTGGTAGTCTTGGCCTTACAAGAGAAGGAACGATAGGCAAAGTTCTGGTGAAGAACCCGTTTATTATGGGCTATAGTGTTGAGAAGAGACTGCGCCCCACCTCTGAGTTTTTGAAATCATTAGGTCTTGCAGAGGTGGATCTTCAAAAGGTGGTGATGAACTTCCCAGAAGTCTTGTGTCGAGATGTGAACAAGATTCTAAGACATAATTTCGATTTTCTGAAAAGCTGCGGATTCAACCATGGGCAGATAGCAAATTTGGTGACTGGTTATCCTCCAGTTCTGATTAAAAGCATTAACAACTCTTTAAAACCTCGTATTAGGTTTTTGATAGATATAATGGGTAGACAACTCGATGAAGCTGCTGATTATCCCGACTTCTTTCGCCATAGTCTGAAAAAGAGACTAGAGCGACGTTACAAACTTTTGAGCCAAAGGAACTTAAGCTGTAGCTTGAGTGAGATGCTGGATTGTGATCAAAAGAAGTTCTTACTTAAGTTCGGTTTGACTAGAGGATTCACATGAGGTAGTAGTTACATCCTTCGTTCATTCTTACAAAATTTTTGTAGAATAGCTTCAGCTGTTATTATGTATCCTTGATGCTTGAGGTGAAGTCATCTTGTATATGGTTCTAGTCAAACAATTCAGATGCTGAGTGAAATGATCCTTTTGGCAAATTCAGCCCAAAATTTTGGTATCTAATCTGTAGACTCTTTGCGTGGCTTTAATGATGTTGTTTGCTGGTGGTTTGCTTGGTGTGCTTGGTTGAAGGGAAAACTTCTTATGGAGATTGGATCGAGCGATGTATTGTTTTCTTCATAGGTGAGATGAAATGAATGCTCATTTGAATGCACCAGTGCACTTTGAAAGCTCACAGATCCACTGGCTAGCCGAGTGAATGTGATTGCCAAGTCTATAATTCTAGGGTGCCTAGCATCTCTGATTCTTGTTCTGAATCCATCATGGTCTAGTGTGGATGGACTGGGAGATTTATAGTTGATGAATGATCATTGTAGATATGACTCGATGAATGATCATTGTAGATACTCTGAATCGATGCATGATTGCATATGGTTTCAGGTTTAATATTGGCTGTCTTGATTCCTGTCAAAAAGCTTGTTTCTTCCTTAAAGTTTATTATGTAGTTCAAACATTACTCGTCAGGTGTTATTTCTATACTACCTAAAGTATCTCCACATTTAAGGTTTTTTGTTTCCGTTTCTCCTAGAATTCAATGATGATTGATGAACTATACGGTCCATTTTAACTTTTGAATTGGGGGGGCGCACCCCGGCTTCTTGTGTGGGAAATGCTCTGGAGCTACTAGTTCAGAAACTACGGCTAGTCATTGATCTGCTATGCAGATCCTTTGAATCTTTTGTCCACACGATCTCAGGCCAAGGATTAATCTCCCTGGGTGTCAAATTTTGTGAGGAAGCACCTTCTTGACAGCTTGGAGCTGTGTATGGACTATTGTTTTTAAGTTATAGGTGACTATGCAGGCAATCTAACAACTGGACCACCATGCCCCTCGCCGTCCTGAATGAGCACACTCATTGATCAGTGATTATAGAAAGCGGAAGAGTGTCACTTCTAATTGTGAGCTGTGAAATAGTGCACTGCCGTTGCATCCGACCTGAATTTATTGTTTCCCTAGAAGCTGGCTTCTTCGAATTGGCGGGGGTATCCATTGACGAGGTTTTTACTTTAGCTAGCTCCAGTCTACGATTGCAACTTAATTGGAGTTGTATGTTCTCTTAAGTACCAGACCTCGGATGGTATAGAGTTGCAGCTTTAACAGTAGAAAATGTCACACCGCAATCTATTTTGCATTAGCAGTAATGTTTCTTGAAAAGTATGGTCTTTGAAGCAGTATGCTTTCATGCTTTTGTTGCATGTTTTTCTCATTATCTAGGATAGCAACAGTCGAACTGTGAATCTTGGAGCAGATGAAGCAGAGGGGATGAAATTCTATCAAAAAGTACTGTCACCAAGACAGTTTGAGAGGGCATGACAGACAAAAAAGGAGCAGCACTCATGAACTGCAGCAGTAGATCGGCTAGGGGTGGGAAACAGACATTAGTACTAGGGATCATTCTATGGTTGGCCCTTCAAGTATGCCATTTGCGAAATTTGAATCCTTAGATTTTTCGATTTATACAATTAAATCCTGTCATCATGAAAGACTGCATTGCTACTTGATCATACTGATATGGAGGGAAAAAATGCATGAAAATACCGTTGCGGTTGCTGCAATCATCCTAATGCTGTGTTCAACTCACACTTCGCAAATCATCCACCGACGCCGCAACTCAACTACTGCTACTTCTTTTATACTTCGAGGCATGCGTTGCCTACGCAGTAGAGATCGCAGGGCAAGGGCAGGAAACAAAGGTACTTTCAGAGTTGATGAACCCTCAACAGAATTTCTATGCTGCTAGGCGTTGCAAATTGCAATTGGGTTCAAATTAATCCTTCCTCAGATTTCCGAAACCCCGTTTTTCTTTTGTTTGTTTTTCTTTTTTATACCATATTTTGAATCATGAACTCGAGATGTCATCATTTCAATGATTCTGTTTCATAGCAAAACATTTGAATTGATTTCGACATTTGGCGCAGGTTAAAATTCTGTCTTTACATTGCCCCCATCAAAATTGGAAATGAGTCAATTAACTCCAATTCGTCATCTTGCAAAGTGCATTTGTGGGAATACCCTCAATGTATCTTTTGTGTTAGTTTGCTCCATAGAGTGTGTTCAAGAGTATTGGATCGCCTCAATGCCTAGTTGATACATAGTCCGATGCAGTTTCACCATGAATCGTCGTCACTCACCCTGCCTCTGGCTATCGCTAGGCCATTAGTTGCCGTCGGTTGGTCCAAATCGTAGCATGTCGGTCCTAGTAAGTGGTTAAACTTGAGTCGCTTATGATCGGTCTTGTGTTGATGCAGCTGGATTCACAATCACTGCAATCAATCCCAGTTCGCCATCTACCTTATTCATCTAAGCCATTCATCTCCAAGGACGAATGCTGGTAGGTCTTACGCGATCATCATCATCAACCCACTCTGTATGTTTCAATCTTGAGCTGCTTCCAATGGATCCAATGGTCAACGTGCATCGATATTTAAGTCGCTGTTAGCCAGATCCTAAGTTGTCGGAATCAGTCCCCTATTACAACGTCCGTCTCAATCATCACCGGCGGAACTCGATTGTCCATTTTTCTAAGTTTAGAGGCAATCGGATACACTCGATAGGTGTCCAAGAGCAAACAAAAGGAACAGTAGATGAGGGGGCACTTTGAATCATTTTCACGATTCCATCTGAAACACATCCAGTAAAATGACACAATGGGGTGGAACGACTCACTCTTAGAATTTTAAGGTGGCAAATTACCACAGAGAAAATTTTCAAGAGGCTAAAACATATGGCCCGGCGCATACCGGGAAGAGATGCCATGGGATTATTTTCAATCATATTAGTCGACCGGAGATGCCATCCAGCAAGCATTCGCAGAATCCAAACAAAGCCCGCCAGAGCCAACAGATGATTCTCAGAACCCATGGGACATGGTGAGCATTGGAGAACCCGGGGACCAGCAGTAGCAATCAATGAGGAAACTCAGCAACTGGTGCCGGATACAGCCGCATGCGACCCTAATAGGCTTTGTATGTTTTGTTGGCCAATTATGTAAGCCTCACCAGCTTGTAAAAGGTCGGTAATGCCTCCAGCCTCCTCTATATAAGGCAAGTTTCTGAATAAGAGTTGGCTAAGAGTTTGAATTCAACATAATTCCCTCTCTCAATACTCTTTTGATCACTCTCTACTTTAGCTCAAAACCTGATAAGATGAGTCGGTTCCATGAGTATGCTCCCACTTGTCACTTTGCATCTTGTGGATCAGAAAGTTTATTAGACCGAGCGCCTAAAGTAGGATAGCCTACTGTCTCAAATCTCTATTATTTCCATCTTTAACCCCAAATAATGATAAATTAAACTTCAAATATGGTTAAATTGCTGAGTGCAATTATATTTATTATATTATTATTTATTGAAGTTATAATTTTATTCTTTGTTATTTGACAGGAAGTTGGCAAATGCATTCGTATATAATAAGTAACAAATAATTATTAATAGTTTAAATTATATTTGATTTGCCCTATGAAATACGGAAACTTGAGGAATACTTATTCCCGATTTTGAATTTCTATTTCATTTTTTGAATATGAGTAATTATTTCATCCTAAGCTTACTAAATATTATAAAAAAAATAGAAATTTAAGACAAATACAAATATTCATTTTCTTAAGTTCAAGATACAGGTCACAAACTAAGAAGACGACCCGTTTCTCTCTACTTCTCAATTGGAGTTTTAATCATCACCTTGCCCATTCGGAAACAATTCTCTTCAAGAACTTGTTATCTCTCTTAGCACGAGACTGGCGTGTGATTCAATTCAAGGGTTATGATGTTAATTGTCTTGAATAATAGGGCTTCTGGATTCTTTAATTCTTTAGTGGAAATGGTTTTTTTTTTCTTAATTGTGTTCATCTTCTAAATTTTAAGATATGGCCTCACAAGCATCGAAGAAAAAGACTACCCGTTTCTCTCACATTTCTTGTTTTTCAACTGGAGTTTAATCATCACTCACCAGTTCGGAGACAATCCGAACGATACCTTTGTAATCGTTCTCGGCAGCTTTGTAATCTCTCTCGGCGCAAGAATGGCGTTTTACTGGGTTATGAGTGTCAATTTCATGAATAAAAGGTTTCTGAATTGTTCAATCCTACAGTGGAAATGGGTCTTTTTCAATTGTGCCTTCTGACATTACATATAATCAGCATTGGCAGGCTGATAGCTTAAGTGTCATATTTGAGTAGTGAAATTTGATTTATGCCCGATTGCTGTCCGAACATGACTTTGTTCTTGCTCATGTTGTATTCTTCCTTTTTCCGCTTAGCTAAACAGTGAACTTCTTGAACAAGTGTCTTCATGTCGATCCCATTTACCAATTGCCACAACATCAGATGTTCTACTCTCTTCGTATAGAACCGAGGATAGGGGTTATAACTGATAACGAAGAGAGAAATTTCGTGTTTTCTCAAACAACATGAAACGCAATTCAAGTCAAACCGGCGGTGGGTTTCAACAATAAAAGTATAAACGAAGATACATCCATCCAACACAACCGGGTCATGACAGGAGCGATTCATGAAACTGGGGCTCTCCATTTTAGCTGCCTTAGTTGTGTATTCCACGTGATCTTTCGTAGTTTAATTGCAGAAAAAAAGAAGAGAAAAGTGAAGGAGCAAGTTTCGGAAGACGCATCTCCATAAGTGCATTTGTTTATATAAAAGCACACCCACTAAACTAATCATAAACATCTCCGACCTTCACTAATCTAATCATATCCTAGGCACGACTCCACTCTCCAAGAACCAGGTTTCCAACACCCAGGAAGATCTCTGCGATTTGGTCGGCTTTTGTTACATGGCTAGAGAGAGAGGACTGTTACATTGAGGTGGGGCTACGGATCTTGGCCTAAAATGGCCCTGATGGGGCAGATCATCAAATCATGATTGTGACTTGAGTGGGGTGTTATTGTATTTGTTAAAGGAAAATCAAGATTTTTTCCCCATAATCAAGAAAGATTCTGCAGGAAATAGAGATTTTATTAAAATACAGGGTGATCTTGCTTGCGGCTACTAGAGTTACCCTATTCTTCTAGTTACTATATATTATATATATAATACAAGTACTATCATTATAACAAAAATTTATATAACAGTCCTTGTTACTACATATGTACAGATTGATACACTTGTGGGGGAAGTGTAAAAGCCTTGTGGATAGATGAGTTAGATACTAATCAATAGGATGTGATAATTTTGGGAAGTTTTATTTTTTTCCACAATAATTTTTGGATTGTAGTAATGAGAATGATAATTGCTAAACGGGCATAGAGAGTGGAGTATGTAAGAGGCCGAACCACTACAAATCGCCAAGCAAGCTTTTTTCCATCATCACTCTCCCTATCTTTGTTCATATTGGTTTTCTGTTGTTTGCTTGACTAAAAATTACGCGGGAACTCTTAAATTTTATGTATGGGAGGTAGTCTTAAACCTTTCGATACACCTTCTTCAAAAAGTGCAATCAAGTCTTTTTCTTTTTTGTGATAGTATCTAAAATTACATACATATCACTCAAAAAGTGCTTATGTGACATCCTTATATTACACTTTTCAACATACTTTCAGGGCTTAATTGTATTTTCCAATAAAAGGCTGAGAACTTAATTGAACCAATTGAGCAAATTATGATTCAATTGCACTTTCTGGTAAAAGTTCAGCACTTGATTGAACCAATTGAAAGGTTTAAGACTCAATCGCATTTCGTACATATTGTTTAGAACTTGTGGTGCAGTTTTCCCGTTTATTTGAAATACTTGCTGGAATTTGCACATTATTTCCATGGATTGCCATTCTACTTTTCATGAGCGTTGACAAATCTCCCTATCTACATCAAATCATTTGATGAGTGTTGACAAATTTAGTTAAAAGGACACATTTTATTATTTTTCATATGGTATGCATGTCATGTTGCTTCTGATGGTCGTGCCTCAGTCATGCGCAGAAGAGGAGTTGGCGTTTGGATTTGACTTTAAACCTTTTGTTTTCCCTTTTTCTCTAATGGTAGTTTGATGAATAGATTAAAATTAAGTTGACTTTCATGAATCTTCAATTCCTCAAAGTGGAAGATTTGACAGATCATGCAGCAGATAAACTGATGGAACTAAGAATCATTTATAGAAATAATTTTCGAAAAAATAAAAATTGAGTGGAAGTCAAGGTTCATGTCGTCGATGGAGATTATCCCTTCCAAGTTCCGAGTATAAAGTCTCAATCTCACCCTTTATTTTTCTTTTGGGGGTTGACTTTGTTTCAGAAATTAAAATTAAAGTTAGCAAATCAATCATGAATCTCTAAGCAAAAAGAAACTGTTTATGTGACACGCGTCTAAACAGTGAAAGAGATGGAATTATTCAAGTTATTTTTTCTTTGCTATTGCAATTTCATTTGCTCGATGGACAAAGGAAAAAGGATATCGATGCTTATTACTTTTAGGGATATGTTGAACACTTTAAGAGTGAACAACAATTTTAAACTTTCGCTTTACAAGTAATACATACATTTTACGCATTGCATATATGTAAATATTGACATTTAATAATATTTTGTAAAATCGTCATATTAATTTACATGAAAGGTAAATAGGAATCATCAATTTTCGCTTTACTCATTGATAAGATAGCTACAAAATAACCAATTCCGCCCGGATAAAAATAAATAACTAAAAAAATTATTTTTTAAAAAAAAAAAGGCAAGAGGGAGAAGATTTCTTCCAACTAAGTGACCCCAACCGCAGTGTCAATGGCAGCGGTAGATTGAAGCCTCTCAACCCTCGCCCTCGTTCTCCCTCTTTATTTGATTTTTACTTTTGTTTGCGGTTGACAACCATTCCGACTCTTGAGACCACCACCATCACGGTGGTCAGCTTGGCAACTCAGATCCAAATCCATATCTAGATCTTGTGCTCATATCACTCTTTGTCTTTCACGGTGGTCGAATGCGACCATCATGGCAGGGATCATTGGGCTGACCAACTTAAATACGGTGGCTCGCAGTGGTTAGTATCTTTAGCCTCAAGACTCGCTACCCTTGTTTCTTTATTTTGTGTTTTATTTTTTTTGTCTTTTCTTGACTATTTTAAGTAATATTTTCAAAATATATTTTTATTAGTACCGTGATATTTATATATACATGTATATAAGATATGACAAATATCCCCGCATTTATTGTCCTGTCATAGTCTAATCTCTCGGCGTCCAAATGCAGCCTTAATGTAAAATGGCTAATAGGTTAAGTCCATATCTGCCGACAAAATTTTAAGGGTCACTTTGATTAGATATTTCACAGGGTTTTCTTTCTTCAATATGGTCCCATTATATATGTTTGGAAAGCTCTACATGTCAACTTTCAAATTAATCACATTTCATACAATTTGGAGTATCCTAGAGGAAGTTATGCTTAGAATAATCAATGATGGTCGGCAAAAGCGGGAAGAGCCTTTTAGTCTTTCTATGTATTTATTGAGTCATATGCATTGCATTTTGTTTCTAGAATTGAGTCAAGAGTCAACGTTCGTATATTTGGTTTAGGGATTGTTGGTCTTTATCTTGAAAATTAAAAGGTTAGTATCTTGGGATATACCGATATTTGGAGGGTTGTTTCAAGTCGTGTCTGTATAAAACCCTCTAAGATTTTCTTGAAGGTGAGTGAGTGTTTTAATAAGTTTCTACAATTGAGCTCTTGGAATGGAGATTCAACTTAACTCTCTATATTTTTAGTGGATTCCATTAAGTAGTGAATGACATGCCAAGTCGAGCAAAAAAACGGGGAAATTACCAAAAAAGTCCTAAACCTTTTGCAATTGTACCAATTCAGTCCTAAACATTTTTTTTGGCCATTTCAGTCCTAAACCTTTTACAATTGTGCCAATTCAGTCCATCCGGCCACTTTTGGCTAGCCGGCGCTGACGTGGACGCCGGCCGGCGCCCGCCGGCGCCGGCCAGCTGACGTGGCATTATTTTAATATTTTTTTCCTTTTTTTTTTCCTTCTTCCCTCTGGCCGGACAGGCCAAGGGGAGGCTCGCCGGCGAGGTCACCTCGCCGGCCATGGGTGACGGCGAGGCCTCGCCGTCGCTGGGCAAGGATGAGCTCGCCCATGGCCGGCGAGCTCGACCTCGCCGTCGCTGGGCGAGCTCGACCTCGCCATGGCCGGGCGAGGTCGAGCTCGCCCAGTGACGGCGAGGTCTTGCCAGATCTAGGCGAGGCCTCGCCGTCGCCCATGACCGACGAGCTCGACCTCGCCATGGTCGGGCGAGGTCGGCCTCGCCCATGGCCGACGAGGTCGGCCTCGCCATGGCCGGCGAGGTCACCTCGCCGGCGAGCCTCCCCCTTGCCGGTCCGGCCAGGGGGAAGAAGGAAAAAAAAATGAAAAAAATATTAAAATAATGCCACTTCAGCCGGCCGGCGTCCACGTCAGCGCCGGCCAGCCAAAAGTGCCCAGATGGACTGAATTAGCACAATTGTAAAATGTTTAGGACTGAAATGGCAAAAAAAAAAAAGATTTAGGACTGAATTGGCACAATTACAAAAGGTTTAGGACTTTTTTGGTAATTTTCCCGAAAAAAACAATGACACGCCATGTATTGTAATGTGAATTCCTTAGGTGGTGAGCATCTTCCGATCACATGCCACGTGTCTTGTGGTGGATTCCTTAGGCGGTAAGCATTTCCATTGTCGCTCTTGTGTCACCTTCCAAATCTCCTATATCAATAACAATTGGTGACAAAAGGATTTTTTTTTCCTGCTAATAAAAGAGCTAGCTAGAGCATTTAATGGCCATGAGAATTTCAAGGTCCGTCCAAAAAAATTGAAGACCCAATTGCATGTGGTAACAATACTTACTGAGTATACTTTACTGACTTATAAAGCAAAGATTAGGGATGAAGTAAGCCAAAAAGACTGTATAATGAAGCATTAAGCAAACCCTAAGCATTGTTTTGTCAATGTTGCTTTAGTAATTCCTTTTGAGCTAGAGTGCTTTACAAGTGAATTAGATCATTTGTTGTTTGTCAGGATTCGATTTTAAACATAGGAATCGGGGAATGTGGGGTCGGCGCCGTCCCTGCATCTCCGCCGCGTTCAGTGTTCGATGACCACCTTAAAATACTAACACCCCAATTAAATTACTTCTTCTGATGGAGCACACCCCCAAATTTTCCAACCTTTAATTTAATAATGTTAGAGAATAAGATAATCTCCGCAAAGTCAGAGCCTATCAACCAAGAATATTGTATGATCTATCGCGAGAACCAGAAACATTAAAGTACGAAGAAAGGCATTCTTGACTTGCTTCCCATCTGCTATATATAGGACCGTATTCTTCCCTACCTTGCTCACATCAACCTTTCCTTTGGTGATTACTTCATCAATCACACACACCCAGAAAACAAAAGAAAAAGAAAAAAGAAACCCTCTTGAAATCGAGATCGAGAAAGAGAGAGACAAGAAAATTCCAAGAAAATGTATTGCCTAGTGTATGCCCAATCTGGTGTCTCCACAGCTATGTTGATCTTCTACACTTGCATGTGGCTTCCCCTTATGCAGCTGAGAAAAGCCATTTCAAGAGTCCTTGCCTTCATCTTTTGCAAGTATCAAGCCCCAGAGAGCTCCTGCAGTTTCCAACTCCCAGTGGGTATGTTTCAAGATTTGCAAAAACCTAGTGAAGAAGAAGATGGTGATCATGAAAAGACTTGCTCTATTTGCTTGTTGGATTATGAGGGAGAGGACTTGGTGAGCAAGCTCCATAGATGTGGCCACGTGTTCCACATGGACTGCATCGAGAGGTGGTTGGAGAGGTCTCAGTTCACATGCCCTCTCTGCAGGAAGCTTGTGTTTGGTGTGAAATCTTCAGCAGCAAAACAAAGATAGTGACCATATCTGATAAGTCATCCTTGAGCCTTTGAGGCAACCACATAAAGAGTCCTTTTTCAGTTATCTTCTCGTCCTTAGTTTTAGCGAGGAACTGATGTAAATTGGACAAGTCTTAGTATCGGCACCGGCCGTCCTACATAGGATGGCCGGCATTCACGATAGAGATTTCCAGCTAAAATTGGATGGATAGACTTAATTGGCAAAATGTGAAAAGGTTCAGAACTCAATTGACATAATAAAGCTTTATGATTGAATTGGCACAAGTGTAATAGATATAGGACTTTGTTTTATATAATTTTCCCAGAAAAATTTCAAGGGACATTTTGAATCTGAGCCTAAAACATATAGCCCGATGCATACCAAGAACAGATGCCGCTGGATTATTTTCAATCATATAAGTCGATCAGAGATGTCATCCAGCAAGCATTCGCAAAACCCAAACTAAGCCTGTTAAAGTCAATAAATGATTCTCGGAACCCATGGGGCATGGTGAACCTTGGAGAACCCTGGGACTAGCAGCAACAAGCGATGGGGAAACCCAGCAACTGGTGCCAGATAAAGCCACATGTGACCCTAATATGCTTTGTATGTTTTGTTGGCCACTTACGTAAGCCGTACTAGCTTGTAAAAGGTTTTTAATGCCCCCGACCTCCTTTATATAAGGCAAGTCTATGAATAAGAGTTGGCGAAAGAGTTTGAATTTCGTATACTTTCCTCTCTCGGTACTCTTCAAAATTCTCTATACTCAACTCAGAATTTGAAAAGATGAGTCAGTTTCAGGACTCATTTGTCACTCTGTATATATCCCGTGTGGATCGGAAAGTTTATTACACCCGAGTTCCCTAAAATAGGATAGCATGCATGTTTTAGATCTCTATTATTTCCATCTGAACCCCCAATCATGATGAATTAAGCTTCAAATATGATTAAATTGTTGAGTTCAATTGTATTTAAGATATTAATTATTTATTAAAGTTATAATCTTTTGCTTTGTTATTTCTAGGATCTAGGCAAATGCATTCGTTTATAATAAGTAACAACTAATTGTTAATAGTTCAAATTATATTTGATTTGCCATATGAAATACGGAAACTTGAGGAATACTTATTCTTGATTTTTAATTTCTATGTCATTTTGTATATGAGTAATTATTTTATCCTAAGTTTACCAAATATTATTAAAAAGAGAAATCTAAGACAAATATAAGTATTCATCTTCTGAAGTTCAAGATATGGGTCACAAACCAAGAATACGATCCATTTCTCTCTACTTCTCAATTGGAGTTTAATCGCCACCTTGCCAATTCGGAAATAATTCTCTGCAAGAACTTGCAATCTCTCTCAGCACGAGACTTGCGTGTGATTCAATTCATGGGGTTTTTGGAATTCCCGTTTAAGAAGAAGACCCGTTTCTCTCTCATTTTCTTGTTTCTCAACTAGAGTTTAATCATTACTTGCCAATTCGGAGACAATCAGAATGATAGCTTTGTAACCTCTCTCGACGCAAGAGTGGCGTTGAAGTGTGATTTCATGAATAACAAGTTTTTGAATTGTTCAATCCTATAGTGGAAATGGATTCCTTTATTTGTGTCTTCTGACATATAATCAGCAGTGGTACTAAGCAGACTGATAGGTAAGTCGCATTTGAGTTGTGAAATTTGGTCTATACCTGATTGCCGTATCTTTTGCCGAACATGTCTTTGTTCTGGCTCGTATTCTCTCTTTTTTCTGCTTAGCTAAACAGTGAACTTTCTGAACAACTGTCTTCATGTCGATGCCATTTACCAATTGCCACAACATTGGATGTTCTGCTCTCTTCGTATCAAACTGAGAATAGGGCAATAACGAGTAGCGAAATTCCATGTTTACTCAGATAACATGGAACGCAATTAAGTCAAACCGGCGGTGGCATCATGTGGTTCTTTCGCAACCGGAGTTTCAACAGTAAAAGTATAACCGAAGATACATCTATCTAACGCATCCGGGTCATGACAGGATTGATTCATGAAAATGGGCTCTTCATTTTAGCTGGGTCGGTTGTGGATTTCACGTGATCTTCCATAGTTTAATTGCAGAAAATAGAAGAGAAAAGCGAAAGAGCAAGTTTCGGAAAGATGCATCTCCATAACCGTGGCGTGTGCATTTGTTTATATAAAGCATACCCACTAAACTAATGATAAACATGTCCGACCTTCACTAATCTAATCATCTCCGAGGCACAACTCCCCCTCCAAGAGCCAGGTTTCCAACACCCAAGAAGATCTCTGCGATTTGGTCGGCTTTTGTTATATTGCTAGAGAGAGAGAGGGACTGTTACATTGAGGTGGGGCTATGGATCTTAGCCAAGAATGGCCCTAATGGGGGTAGATCGTCAATTCATGACTATGACTTGAGTGGGTGTTCTTGCATGGGTTAAAGGAAAATCAAGATTTTTTCCCCATAATCAAGAAAGATTACGAAGGCAATAGAGATTTTGTTAAAATATAGGGTAATCTTGCTTGCGGCTGCTAGAGTTACCCTATTCTTCTAGTTACTCTTATATATATAATAGTCCTTGTTACAACATTTATACAAATTGATACATTTGTGGGGAAGTGTAAAAGCCTTCCTCATGGATAGATCACGACGCGTTAATTTTGGGATTTTTTTAAAATTTTTTGCCGCTATAATAATTGGATTGGAATAATGAGAATGATAATTGCTAAACGGGCTTAGAGAGCGGTGTAGGTAAGAGGCCGCCGAACCACTATGAATCGCCAAGCAAGCTCTTTTTTTTCTCACCACTCTCCTTATCTTTCTTCATATTTGTTTCTATCATTTACTTGACGGAAAATTACACAAGAAGTCCTAAACCTTATGTACAGTATGCAGTCTTGAACCTCTCAATAGACTTTCAAGAAGTGCAATTAAGTTTTTTTTTTTATGAACGGTACTCAAAATTACCTACATGTCAATCAAAAAGTACTTATGTGACATCTTTAAATTGCATTTCTCAATATACTTTTAGGGCTTTATAGCATTTTCTAATAAAGGTTGATGACGTAATTGAACCAATTGAGCAGTTTATGATTCAATTGCACTTTTTGGTAAAGATTCAGTACTTGATCGAACTTATGGCACAATTTTTCCATTTGAAATACTTGCTGGAATTTGCACATTATTTCCATTGGTTGCCACTCTACTTTTCATGAGCGTTGACAAATCTCCTTATCTACATCAAATCATGTGATGAGCGTTGACAAATTTCATTATAAGGACATCATTTAGTATTTTTTTTCATATGGCATGCATGTCATGTTGCTTCTAATGGTCGTGCCACGGTCATGCTCAGAAGAGGAGTTAGCGTTTGGACTTGACTTTAAACCTTTTTTTTAATGGTAGATTAATGAACTGATTACATTGAGTTGACTTTCATGAATTTTCAAATCCTTAAAGTTGGAAGATTTGATAGATCATGCAGCAAATAAACTGATGGAACTAAGAATCATCTGAAGAAAGTGTTTTCGGAAAAAATAAAAATTGAGTGGAAGTCAAGGTTCATGTCGTTGATGGAGATTGTCCTTTTCAAGTTCAAAGTATAAAGTCTCGATCTCAACCTTTATTTTTCTTTAGGGGTTGACTTTGTTTCAGAAATTAAAATTGAAGATAGCAGAACAATCATGAATCTCTAGCAAGAAGAAACACTTTATGTGACAGGCGTTTAAACAGTGAAAGAAAAAGAATTTTTCAAATTATTTCTTCTTTGTTATTGTAATTTTGTTTGCCCGATTGATGAAGACAAAAGGATATCGATGTTTATTACTTTTAGGGATATGTTGAACACTTTAAGAGTGAACAACAATTTTAAATTTTCACTATATAAGTAACATAGACACTTTACGCATTGCATATATGTAAATATTGACATTTGATAATATTTTGTAAAATCATCTTATTAATTTACATGAAAGATAAATAGGAAACATATCAATTTTCGCTTTACTCATTGATAAGATACCTACAAAATAACCAATTCCACCTGGATAAAAATAAATAACTAAAACAATTAAAAAAAAAAAAAAGCAAGGGGGAGAATATTTCTTCTGACTACGTGACCCCAACCGCGACGCCAACGACAGCGATAGATTGAAGCCTCTCTACCCTTATCCTTGTTCTGTCTCTACTAATTTGATTTTTACGTTTGTAGGTGGTTGACAACCACTCCGACTCTTGAGACCACCATCATGGTGGTCAACTTGGCAACTGAGATGCAAAATCATATCTACATCTTGTGCTCATATCACTCTTTGTCTTTCATAGTGGTCAAATGTGACCATCGTGGTGGTGGTCGTTGGGCTGACCGACTTGACTACGGTGGCTCACAGCGGTTAGCATCTTTGTCTTTCACGGTGGTCAATGTTAGTATTTATATTTTGGTTGAGGAATCGTTGGAGGTTAGTATCTTGGGATATTCCTATATTTGGAGGGTTAATTCAAATCATGTATGTATAAAACCCTCTAAGGTTTTCTTGAAGGTGAGTGAGTGTCTTAATGGATTCCATTAAGTGGTAAATCACATAAAATGTATCATAATGTGAATTCTTTAGGTGGGGAGCATCTTCCTGTCATATGCCGCATGTCTTGAGGTGTATTCCTTAGGTGATAAGCTATTCTGTTGTCGCTCTTGTGTTACCTTCTAAATCTCCGATCTCTCCGGTATCAATGACAACTTGCAACAAAAGGAAATTTTTCCTACTAATAAAAGAGCTAGAGCATTTAATTGCAGTGAAAACTCCAAGGTCCTTCCAAAAAGATGAGATTAGCGTATTAGAAGTCATAAAACTGGTCACAAAGTACAACTGAGTCCTAAACTTTCTAAAAATGCAATCAAGTCCTATAACTTATCACAAAAGTATAATCGAGTCCTAAAATTTTCAAAATATGCAATCAATGAAAGGACTTGATTGGACCGATTTGATAAGTTCTAAGACTTGATTATATTTTTTGAAAGTTTTAGGACTAAATTGCACTTTCATAACAAGTTTTAGGGTTTAATTGCTTTTTTTGAAAGTTTTAGAACTTCATTGCACTTGCATGACAAATTTCAGGACTTTCAATGCACTTATACGATTATACCCAAAAAGATCGAAGACCCAATTGCATTTTGTAATAATTACTTACCGAGTACACTGTACTGACTTATAAAGCAAAGATTAGGGATGAAGTAAGCCAAAACAAAACTGCATAATGAAGCATTAAGCAAACCCTAAACATTGTTTTGTCAATACTGCTTTAGTGTTTCTTTTTTTTTTCTTTTTCCTTTTGGGCTAGAATGGTTTACAAGTGAATTAGATCATATGTTGTTTGTCAGGATTCAATTATTAAACATAGGAATCGGGGAATGTGGGGGTCGGCGCCGTCCCTGCATCTCCGCCGCGTTCAATGTTCGATGACCACCTTAAAATACTAAGTAGCCCAATTAAATTACTTCTTCTGATGGAGCACACCCCCAAATTTCCAAACCTTTAATTAAATTATGTTAGAGAATAAAATAATCACTGTAAAGTCAGAGCCTATCTACCGAGAATATTGTTTGATCTATCCCGGAAACCAGAAACATTAAACCACGAAGGAGGGCATTCTTGACTTGCTGCCCATCTCGCTATATATAGGACCATATTCTTCCCTACCTTGCTCACATCAACCTTTGCTTTGGTGATTACTTCATCAATCACACACACCCAGAAAACGAAAAAAAAAAAAACAAGAAACCCTTTTGAAATCCAGAGAGAGAGACAAAAAGAAAAAGTTCAAGAAAATGTATTGCCTAGTGTATGCACAATCTGGTGTCTCCACTGCTATGTTGATCTTCTACACTTGCATGTGGCTTCCCCTGATGCAGCTGAGGAGAGCCATTTCAAGAGTCCTTGCCTTCATCTTCTGCAAGTATCAACCCCAAGAGAGCTCGTCCAGTTTCCAACTCCCGGTGGGTAGGTTTCAAGATTTGCAGAAATCTGGTGAAGTAGAAGATGGTGATCATGAAAAGACTTGCTCTATCTGCTTGGTGGATTATGAGGGAGAGGACCTGGTGAGCAAGCTCCAGAGATGTGGCCACATGTTCCACATGGACTGCATTGAGAGGTGGTTGGAGAGGTCTCAGTTCACATGCCCTCTCTGCAGGAAGCTTGTGTTTGATGCGAAATCTTCAGCGGCAAAACAAAGATGGTGACCATATCTGATAAGTCATCCTTGAGCCTTTGAGGCAACCACATAAAGAGTCTTTTTCAGTGGTTTTCTTGTCCTTAGTTTTAGCGAGGAACTGACTGTAAATCGGACGAGTCCTAGTGATATAATTGATAAAATGTTGAGGTCTATTCTTCCTTGTCAAGATCGGTTAGATCTCAGTGATCCAAAAATTACAAGTACCCCAAATTGAAAGGAGTTGCTTTTTTTTTATAGACTTATCTGCAACCTGTATTATGTACAGTTGCTTCTTCATAGCATAATTTCGGTGCTACTTAAATTTTTTTTTTTTCATAATTTTAAGTCAATGATTCAACATTTCAGATCTATATTTGGAAAATTTACCCATTTTTTTTCTTTTACTCAACTTGTTTACTTAGCAAAAACTGTGTCATCTCCATTTAGGTATTGAATGATGAAGAAAGAGAGAGTGTTGACTTAGACGATTTTAATCACCCAATATATCTCTACTAACATGGCATCATCTTAAGAGGTAATATTGAATCTAATAAGTGGATACCTAATGACTATTTAACGGAAATTGTATCCAAGTTGGCATTAACTGTGCCATCTCCATTTAGGTGTTGGATGATAAGGAAAGAGAGAGTGTTGACTTAGACAGTTTTAATCACCCAATATGTCTCTACTAACATGGCATCATCTTAAGAGGTAACATTGAATCTAATAAGTTGGTAACTAGTGACTATTTAACGGCAGTTGTATCCGAGTTAGCATTTATCACGCGCACTTTTAACAAAGGCCTCCCATTAACCCACATTTGAAAAGCCCAGACACTTAATTGAGCAAAAGTGAAAAAGGATGAAAGCTTAGGTACTCGTGGTACCATTGTCCCCTTTTTTATGTGGTGATGTGTTTTTCAAGATCCAATAATCTTAGGAGTCGTCAGTAGACATGCTGAGTGGACAAAAGGAAGGAAAGAGTTGCTTTTGATCAGCATATGTGTATACATATAAAAATGAAACTGTTTATTGAGTATATAAAAAAGATTAATGACTGCATTACTGTAAGCTAGATATCGATCTTCAATCAAAGTCAACACAAAACGACAAATACCCAGCAGTTCCTTACTTTTATGTAACCTTTCTCAATCATCATCAATATCATATTATATAGAACCATGGATATTGCAGTGGGCATCCAAGTTCCTCACGCATTGCTGAAAGGATCGAGGTGGGTGAAACTATTCGACTAAACATCTCATGAAGATTGCACCATGAATCCCATTTTGGACATGAACATGCAAAGATTTTAGTAGGGATAATGACACAAACAATCCCTGAACTTTGACTCAATGTGCAATTTGGTCCTTGAACTTTTAATTTATTCAATGTAGTCCCTAAACTTTAGCCTAATGTTTATTGTGGTCCCCGAATCTTTAATTTGTTCAGTGTAGCCCCTGAACTTTTGGTACATGTTCAATTTAATTCCTGAACTATATGAAAATGTATAATATAGTCCCTGAACTTGGATTAATGGAAGGACTACATTGAACATTTTTATAAAGTTCAGGGACTATATTAAACATGTACCAAAAGTTCATGGACTACATTGAACAAATTAAAAGTTCATGGACCATATTGAACATTGGGTTAAAGTTCAGGGACTACATTGAACAAATTAAAAGTTTATGGACCAAATTGCATATTGAGTCATAGTTCAGAGACTGTTTGTGTCATTTTTCCATTTTAGTATCATAGGATCATCAGCGGCCACAAGATCAGAGGTCAAAAGATAACCTAAAATACGTTTTTTTTGTTTCATGTTTTGCAATGGCCAAGTTGAGAAGAAAATTATCCAAAAAGTCCTAAACCTATTACACTTTTACCAATTTAACCCTAAACATTTCAATATTACCAATTGAATCCTAAACATTTCCATGTTTTATCAATTGAGTCCATTCGGCCAATCTTGGCTAGAAATCGCCGATGTGGACGTCGGCCGTCCTACATGGCACGGCCAGCATTGATGTGGATAATTTTTTTAATAATTTTTTAAATAATTTTTTTATTTTTTATTTTTTGTTCTTTTTTTTTACATATCCTCGTCAGCCACAGGCAAGAGCCTCCGTGCCCTCGCCAGCCATATATAAAAAAGAAACAAAGAAAAAGAAAAGAAAAGCAAGGAAAGGAAAGGAAAGGAAAAAGAAAAGAAAAAATAAAAATAAAATAATTAATAAAAATCGAAAAAAAAAATTACTAAAATATAATTAAAAATTGTCAACGTTAGCGTCGGCTGTGCCACATAGGACGATCGACATTGACGTCAGCAATTTCCAGCCAAAATGGATTGGATGGACTCAGTTGGCAAAACGTGAAAAGGTTTGGGACTCAATTGGCATAATTGAAAGGTCTATGATAGGTCTAAGATTTTTTGGACAAGATTAAGGGTCAAAAGATGACCTAAAAGAATCGTCTTTTGTCTCATGTTTTGCAATGGCCAAGTTGAGTATCTTAAGGGTGCGTATGACAATGTTTCTATGCCGGGGAACTATTTCTACTCAGAAATGGTTCTTTTTTATTCTATGCCCGGAAATAATTTCTAAGCATTTGAAGGCGTTTGGTAACTGTCCAAAATTTCTATTCCTGGGATAGAAAAGAACAGAAATACGTTTGGTAACTACACAAAATTTCTTTTTATTAATAATATTTTAAATTGTTTAATATTTTTTTTCTTTTTTTTTTCTTTCTATCCTTCCTTCTTTGGCCATGGCGGGTCGCCGGCGCCGGCGACCGGCCACAGGCCAGGGCGTCGCGGCCCTCGCCGCCTACCTCGCCAGATCTGAGCGAGGCCGACCTCGTCGTGGGTCGTGACGGCGAGGTCGGCCTCTCCCAGATCTGGCGAGGCCGAGCCTCGCCGTCGCAACCCACGGCGAGGCTCGACCTCTCTCGATCTGGGCGAGGCCAACCTTGCCATGACCGACGGCGAGCCGCCTCGCTCAGGCGGCGAGGGTCCAGCCCTTGCCCTCGCTGGCAAGGGGGACCCTCGCCTCCGCCGGCGGCCGACGAGGGCCGTGATGCCCTCGCCGGCCACAGCCCAAGAAGAGCAACACAAAAAGAAGAAAAAGAAGAAAAAAACTGATTCTCAAAATTGTGCCGAGAAACAAAAAGCAACTTTTTTTTACTTCTTGTTTCTCTTCCAAAACTGTTTCTGGGCACAAATTTTTGCAAACATGTGCCCGGGAACAAAAAGTTTACCAAACGCATTTCTGTTCCCAAACTATTTCTGGGAACAAAAGAATAGAAATTTTTACTGTTTGGCACGTCACCAAACGGGCCCTAAGCATCCCATGATCCTTCTAGTTTTCAAATGAAGATATGATGGATTGGGATCTGTTAATCTCATTTTGTTTGTTGATCCACGTCACGTGTATTCACTAACTAACAGAACTGTTGGCTACCGATGATCGGTGGACGCAAACACTAATCTTGAATTAACACAAAATAAAGGTTAAATGAAGAAAATTCGGTAGAGAACAGAGTATATGCCCAGAGCATCTGATTGCGGGAGGGCGGCACCAATGTAGAGAGATTTCGTATTGACTCTGAATGTTTAAAATGTTCTCGGAATTTTGCAGAGAAGAAAATTCCTGCAAACTGAAGGGATACTTAGAAGGGTGAAGAAGACCTATGTCGAGGGATGAAGGTCAACAGGGGTAACCCGTTTGCATGGGAAGAATGAGGCTAAAACTTCAATGAGGGACCTGAAGAATTTGAACGCTATCAATAAAATCTATGAAAACCCAACACAGAGAAGAGGGTTAATTCCAAAAAAAAGCACCAATTTTAGGTCAAGGGACAATTTTGGCCCGAACTTTTTTTTGTTCCATAAAAAAGCATCAACTTTAAGTCGAGGGACAATTATGGTCCGAACTTTTTTTTGTCTCGTAAAAAAGCACAAACTTTCACTTAAATCCCAAATCTGGCCCTTATTGATTTAAAACAATTGATTTTCCAACTTGACTATTCCACCTTAGCAATAAATCCACGTGACTTGCTGACTGGATTTAAAGCATTATTCATTGTCTTATTCTCTAAACCACAACTTGAAGAATAACGGTGAAACTGTTCGTCTCCTTCACTTCACCGGCAAGTCAAAAATATCTCCAGATTGAATCTTTCTAGCCAAACTTCGTCGTTTTGTCGTAATCTAAAACTGTAGACCACCGCCCGTCGACAGACGCCATGGAAGAGATTCGCTAGGCTCACCACCATAACTTTTTTTCTCAAACAAGGGTAACTTCAGATATTAAGTCAATGGGGGGCCAAATTTGGGATTTAAATGAAAGTTTGTGCTCTTTTACGAGATAAAAAAAAGTTCGGGCCAGAATTGTCCATCGACCTAAAGTTGATGCTTTTTTATGGGACAAAAAAAAGTTCGCGCCAGAATTATCCCTCGACCTAAAGTTGGTGTTTTTTTATGGAATAAAAAAAAGTTCGGGCCAGAATTGTCTCTCGACTTAAAGTTGATGTTTTTTTTTGGAATTAACCCCAGAGAAGAAGGAGAAGGGCTCGACCTTCAATGGACTGGCTTTTATCACGAGTTGGGTTCCTGGGAGGGCCAAGATTCCTGGCCCGTGACGCATATGGCACGAAGCTCTCCAGGCCCATCACGGCCTGAGGCAGCCCTCCTCCATTCCTTAAGGCTCTTCGAGGACGACGCCGAAGCCGAGACAGCGTGAACGAGAAGATCAACCCCCGAGTCGCCGGCGTTGTTGATGCGGAATTGGAAGAACTTGAATTCGATCTGACGAGCTCCATCATGGTACACCCTTTTACGTTTTTGCTCATCCGGGTTAGTCGGGAACAAGCTTCTCCGTCGACCCGCGAATCCGTTTCCTGTTTGCCGATGATGTCGCGCCTCTCGTTCTTGGAATTCTGATGATCTCTTGCGGCTTTAGTTGACTTTCTTGATTCAGGCTGTTAGATTTGTCGATGTTGTTATGTTGGGCTCCCCTCTTGGGATTTGTTCTGTGTGAAATTAGCTCCTGTCTCATGACTTTGATCGCCGGTTGAGATCATTTTTTTACGTGACTTTTCGACTTCTACGTGAAATTGAATACCGTCGTCTGTCGTAGTTGATTAGTTCCTCCAAATCGACGTTGTTTCTCTGAATTAAATCGGTGAAGAGCTTCATCGCGATTCATTGGTTCTTTTTTTCGGCTGTTTTTCTTTGTTCTTGATCGTAATTGAAGAAGATAATGATAGCTCTTTTCATTTTAGGAGGGGGTTTGGTGGGGGAGCTTTGTTTTTTGTTGATCAAATCTGTCTTTAAATTTGAAGAGGGTCGTCATGTGGTTTCTGTCAAATGACGAGCTTGTGGATGCGGTTTCCGACTTTCCAGAAATTTGTTGTGTGCGAAAATGTTTAACATGGAGCTTCTGACAAGATAAAGCAACTCTGTTGGTCGGCTTGATTCTATGTGCTTTGCTTGAGGACTCGCTTCGAGCATGGTCGATGAGAGCATGAATAGACATTTTGCATCCAAGAGCTGTGCTTCTAGATTCTGATGGCACCATATATTATAGAGAAGCTTATCTGGCTGAAGATAGATATATGACTATCAATCGCGCATTAATTCCCAAAGTTGGGTTTCTCCTACTTTCTCTTTGTTAATTATATGTGCTTCTCATTTGAATATGATTGCATCACACATAAGCAGCTCTCTCTGTCTCTCTCTCTTAAGTCAATTTCCTATGTTGGCCGTCATTTGACTAAAGCTGGATTTTAACTTCTTTCTCTTCTGTGCCGTGTTTTAGATTCAGTTTGTACTTCTAATCAGTCGTCAAGGGAAGGTCAGGTTGACAAAATGGTATTCTCCATACACACAGAAGGAGAGAAATAAGGTATTTTTTTTATTCTGATATACTGTTTCTTTAAACCTTGTCAATGATTCTTGATAAACTGATAAGATTTGAGCACCTGAGCTTAGTGGCTGCTTGCTGAAGTTATTGTCACATACCTTTTTGTATTGCTCTGTTGATATATTGTTTCTTCGCACCCCATTTTACTGATATGCTCGTATGGGTTACCCTGACATCTGAGAAGGTCATCCGAGAGCTCAGTGGATTGGTTCTTACTAGAGGACCTAAACTCTGTAATTTTGTGGAGTGGAGAGGACTTAAGGTTGTTTACAAAAGGTAATTTATATAGAGTTTTTAGATTTTCATCCACAGAAGAGTACATGGGTTCAGTTTGTGGCACTTTGCGCCATATATTGTTTTCGACCAAGTTTGTTTCAATGATGTTGTGCAGATATGCCAGTCTCTATTTTTGTATGTGCATTGATCAGGATGACAATGAATTGGAGGTCCTGGAGATAATTCATCATTTTGTTGAGATTTTGGACCGGTACTTTGGCAGTGTGAGTACAAACTTTTTTATTCATGAAATACTAAGATGTTTGTGTTGAGTTCCAGATCTCACCACAATATCTTGAATTCTTCACAGGTTTGCGAGTTGGACTTGATATTTAACTTCCATAAGGTAGGTTATGCTCATTCAGTACAAGAGATTACATCTTTATCTTCTTTTCGTATTGCTTTATTCGTTTTTATCTGTGAGGATAAATGATTTGTGAAATGTTTGGTGCTATCAACATTTAAGGCTTACTATGTTTTGGATGAGCTTTTGATTGCTGGTGAACTTCAAGAGTCAAGCAAGAAAACAGTCGCACGGTTGATAGCAGCTCAGGTCTCTCTCTCTCTCTCTCTCTCTCTCTCTCTCTCTCTCTCTCTCTCTCTCTCTCTCTCTCTCTCTCTCTCTCTCTCTATCTTTCGACTGCTGGGTTGTTCAATTTGTTACGTGCTTTCTTATGAACTTTTATTTGAGCTTCTCTGATCTAAAGACCACTTTGCCATCTCGTGATAGGATTCACTGGTGGAAGCTGCAAAGGAACAACAGAGTTCAATAAGTACCATTATTGCCCAAGCCACCAAGTAGGATATACAGTTTGCTCACAATTCCCCACTGTACTCACTGTGCTTGAAGTATGCTTCCTGCAACTCTATGTTTCGAGCTTTCCTTGCAGTGGTTGAGTTGTCAGTTTTGGTTGTGGATGCACCTACTATGATGGTTAATGCAACATATACTGTGAGATATGCTTCCTGTAATACGCTCGTTTTAGTGTTCGATCGAAAATAGATACAGACAAGATCCTCAGTGAAACAACTATGAGTTCTGATGGCCTAATGATCATTCGCCGACCTTACCATCCGTAACTTATCCGTGTTCATGCCTTTTAGAATCGATTCGAGGGGAAGCAACATATGTTCCACCTGCTTGGTGTAGGTTTTAGCACATTGACACTGTTTAAACCTCATTGGGGTCGCGCCGAAGAAATTTGTGTAGGTTCATTTTCATCGGAGCCTCAAACCATGAAATAGCGTTGCTTTCCTTCGCTTCTAGTGGAGCTGGGGAACCTCCCGAGCGGATTCGGGAGGTGGAGTAGGTGGGGGGCCGAGCCACTATAAATCTCTATCCCTACTCTCTTTATATTTGTGCATATTGTCTATTTGCTCTTTTGATGGGGCCCAATTGGATTTGGCCGAGCATTATAACCAAGTCTCTTTGCCAAGGTCCCCTTGAAATTGATCTCCACACCCTTTTGGCACGGGCGAGCTTAGGTGGTCTATTGTCTGTCTGGCCATGATCAGATATACTATTGACTCTTCATTCTTTTTATAGAATTAAATGCTCAATGCAAGAGAGAACGGAGAGTTACGGGGAGAAATTTTTGTGCAGGATCACGACCCTAGAGTCGTCGCAGTTGGCGACAACGATCTTGTCAGGGGTGACGATGGTGACAACGGTTGTCGACCCGACATCATTGCACTCCGGCGAGTGAAGCTCGCACCTGCACCTCTAGTGCATTGCCACTATGCCCTTGTTCCACGCGATCACCTCCTCGTCCATCTTGTGAAAGCTCCTCTCCATTGCCGCCCTCCATTCTGTAGGAGCCAAACCCTTCTCCTTGTTCATCACTTACAACTCCTTTATCGGTCCGTGCATCCTATATATACACCTCACCCGTGGGAACTATCGGTCGAACAAGCAAAAAAGAGAGAATACAGAGATACGGAAGAAAAAGAAAGAAGAACAAAGAAAACAAGTGGAACGCTCTAAGGGCCTGTTTGGTTCAGCATTTAAAAGTTGCTTTGGGGGTCTAAAGTCCCTTGTGCAAATGCGAAGTTATTTGGCAAATTTTTTGGGAAGCTTTAAGGAGATGCAATTGCATCTCCAAAGTTTTCCAAGGGCCTTTGGCTGAATAGAGCCCATGAGGAGCTTTGAGAAGTTGCATTTTCGGAATGTAATCGGGCACTGTTCATCGTCTTCCAAGCAGATGATCCGGCGGCCGGCCACCGCCGCCTGAGGGCTAGCGCCCCGGTGACCGTTGCCTGGGGGTCGCCGTACCTCAGGCGGCGTCGCCGGGGTCGCGCGACCCCCAGGCGACCGCCGCCCGAGGTCCGGCGACCCCAAGCGACCGCCTGAGATCCGGCAACCTCAGGCGGCTTCGCCGGAGTCGCGCGACCCCCAGGCGACCGCCGCCCGAGGTCCGGCGACCCCAAGCGACCGCCTGAGATCCGGCAACCTCAGGCGGCTTCGCCGGAGTCGCGCGACCCCCAGCGACCGCGCCCGAGGTCCGGCGACCGCCCGAGATCCGGCACCTCGGGCGGCTTCGCCGGAGTCGCGCGACCCCGTGCGACCGCCGCCCGAGGTCCGGCGACCCCAAGCGACCGCCCGAGATCCGCACCTCGGGCGGCCACGGAGTCGCGCGACCCTGTGCGACCGCCGCCCGAGGTCCGGCGACCCCAAGCGACCGCCCGAGATCCGGCACCTCGGGCGGCTTCGCCGGAGTCGCGCGACCCCCAGGCGACCGCCGCCCGAGGTCCGGCGACCCCAAGCGACCGCCTGAGATCCGGCAACCTCAGGCGGCTTCGCCGGAGTCACCCGACCCCCAGGCGACCGCCGCCTGGGGTCGCGCAACCTCAGGCTGTGGTCGCCGAGGTCAGACGACATCGCCTGAGGTCGCCGGCGACTAGAGCTAGCCGTCAGCGGTTGGCCGGCGACCAGATTTGGCCGACGGTAGTGGTCGGTTGGCCAGTTTTTTTTTTTTTTTAAATATCAGCAAAAGTCTTTTGCAAATAATTTTTACCAAATGGTATTTAGACCAAAGTTGCTTTCAAATGTGATTTTAAAAAACATATTACCAAATACTGCTTTCATTTCGAAAAACCCTTTTAGCTCAAAGGTCTTTACATTTTGCCAAAGGCATTCCCCAAAACCGAACCAAACATGCCCTAAAAAGGTTGGGCTCTAGAAAAGTGGGACCCCACAAATAATATAATCAAAACACAATTTTAGGGAGTGTAAAAGTCAAAATAGAGCCCAAAAAGCGGGATCCTAAATTTTTTTAGAATTGGACTTCCTAAATAGCATAAAGCATGGTAAAACTAAGGATCGAGATTAACCAAATGGATATTTGTTTTGCATTAGTGGATCGCCAATCATTTGTAACTCGTACTTGCTTTGTTGATTTAATTTGAGGGACTGATTGTCACGGATTAAGTAAAAGCAAGAAAAAAATCTTTTCTACCTTTTCGTAAAATTTATAATATTATTTGAATTTCAAAAAATTATGAAATAGTTACTTGGGAAACTACTTGTTTATATAGGGAAATTGTCAAATAAGGACCCAAAGTGGGTGCCTTTTTTCAAAAGAGGACCCCAAGTGGATAAAGTATCAATTAAGGACCCAAATGCCCAAACTAGTATCAAATAAGGACCTGAGTTCGCCGGCGGGCCAAATGTTCCCCTTCCCGGCGACCGGCGGAGCTCGAGCTCGCCGGCCATGGCGAGCTGCCGGCGAGCTCCGCCCAGATCTGGGCGAGCTCGAGCTCGCCGGCCATGGCGAGCTCCGCCTAGATCTAGGCGAGCTCAAGGAGGCCGGCCTCGCCCGGATCACGTAGTCGAGGGCCTTGGCGGGGCCGTTGCCAGAGGCGATGGTGTCGCGCGCGAGCTTCAGGAGGAAGGGCCCGAGATCCGGGTTGTCGAGGGCCGCATCAGGCGGGGCAGGGCTGGCGGCAGAGCCCGGGGACTCCGGCGGGGGCTTCCGTGGGGAGAACTTGGAGCGGGAAGGGGACTCGGCCGGTCGCCGGCCGGCAAGCTCAGGTCCTTATTTGATACTAGTTTGGGCATTTGGGTCCTTAATTGATACTTTGTTCACTTAAGGTCCTCTTTTGAATAAAGGCACTCACTTTGGGTCCTTATTTGACAATTTCCCATTTATATATATTCACATGTCCTCAAAGTTTTGGATTAAAAAAAGGTAAAAAATTTATCAAAGCACACTCAGATACTTTTTTTTTTTCTAGAACCAAATCTAATCATGACTCTTCGCGACCCTGGACCACCTAAAAGTGGGTTTTCAGCCGAATGAACTGGCAGACATTTTGGGCCTTTTGGCACTACCTTGGTTCACCCATTAAATCTATCTAATTCTATTATATATATAATTTCAAAAAGAAAAAACATCAATTATACCTTGAGTGATAATTTTGATCTGAACAATTTATTTGTCTCAATAAAAAGCCCAAATTTTAATTTAAGTCCCAAATCCGGTTCCTGTGATGTAAAAATTTAAAATTGTTTGGGCTAGATTTGAAATTTAAGTAAAGGTTTGTAATTTTTTGCGAGACAAAAAAAAGTTCGCTCAAAATAAAATTTAGTACTTTTTTCTTAGAATTAAGTATATATATATAGTTAAAATCAAAATTGAGAGAATATTCGCTCCAGTGGTTTCACGTGGCACTTAACTTTTTTTTCGTGATTGCCACGCAGCCCATGTTCAACTAATTGTTAGTTGGGTTAATGATTTGTCGTCCTCGAAAGTCAAACGTTCTATCATTTATTAAATTAAAAAAAATGAATGAAAGAAAGTTTTTTGAAATGTATTTTAAATCCAATGAAAAAGATAAATATATTTTTAGTATCTTTCCCAAACAATTATATCTCTAGTCTTATCTCGTTCATTTTATTTTGAAAAGGCAAATAACAATAGAGTATCTTTAAGTATATTGTTTATCCGTTTAATTTGAAATTAAGTAAAAAGGAGAAATAAATCTTATTACATGAATCATATTTACAACTTGAGGTATAGCTTTTGTTAATTACATGAATATGTAATAAATTTGAAAAGTTTGATGGATAAATTTTATTACATGAATAAATCTCACTTAATAGTAAGTAAATTTTAAATTACAATAAAAGAATAAAAATTACAACTTATTCAAAACTCTCATGTTTACGTTTCATTTAGTTTTATTCCCCTCCTGTTAAAAGGCACTTATCTTTAATTCCACTTGTTTTAAATATAGCTTATATCATTTGAAGTAAAAATTCATTTAGCCAAAAACGAAAATGAATATAATTTTTTTTCCAAAATCCAATAAATTTGAATTTGAGTTATTTTTCGAGAAAAAGTCAAGTAAGAAATAAGTTTTAATCAATAGTTAGTTAAATACACAAATCAAATTGACATTGATCCCAGTCAAAAGATCGAATATTTGCGGATAAAAGTTTTATAAATAGGTGGTTTCTCCGTTTATTTCATCACTCCGATAGAAGGAGACATACGTGAAGTTTTCGCGGATGCTGATTCTTATCAAGACTTTTTCAAGAACTCCATTGGATTCAGTTTATCAAGATGCCAATCGTCTTCGACTTCGGATCAAACCAAGGACGTGAAGAGGATGTAAATTTGGTGATGTTTGATTTGGGGTTACACCATCAAAACTCTCTTCCAGAGAAGAAAAAATATCAAAAGATTTTTCTTTCGCATTATAAAGCGATTTTACTCCGTTTATCCAAATTAACACAATTTGGTATACATTTCCAGATCTACATTTAGATTGAGAATTTTACTTTGTATGGACGAATATAAAGATATATTTATGAACATATATGCCTGACTAGTTAATCATAGAAAAAATCCACTTCTAGAAGTAAAATTTCCCAATTTGCTCAAGCATTCATTTAATTTGTTCATCTCTAGATCTATACCGGACTAATTCCGTAAAAAATCCCAAATTTTAGGTTAAGTCCCAATTGTATTTCGAACTTTTTTTTGTCTATAAAAACTCATAACTTTAAGTCCAGTCCAAATCTACCATGAACTTTGTTTGGTCTAAAAAAAATCAAACTTTAGATCGAGTCCCAAATCTACCCTGAATTTTAACTCTAATCCCAAATTTGCCCCTTTTGTCCAAAAATCGTCGTTAATCGTCCCTAATTTCCCTAATTTTCTTATCAAAGAACGATCTCGTTTGCGAGATAATTTTCTGCATCACCTTACTGACATGGATTTGTTACCGACGTGGAAATACCACATCGAATAGCTAATGTCGATTTTTGGACGGAAGGTTAACGGAGGCAGATTCGAGATTGCATTGAAAGCTCGTGATTTTTTTTTTGTAAACCAAACAAAAAAAAAAAAGAGAGCTCAAAGGAAATATGGCATTAACACTAAAGTTGGTAGTTTCTTTAAAACACACAAAAAAAAAAGGTTCGGGACATATCCGGGACTAGATTTACAGTTTGATTTTTTTTCTTTTAAACAAGAAAAAGTACGGCGTAGAATTGAGACCGACCCAAAAATTCAGACAAAAATCAGTTCGGGGGTGGAATTGAAACCGGACCTAAAATTCAGGGTTTATTAGGTGATTAGGCTGATTCATACATGGCCATTTTTTTTTTCAGAAAGAGAATTTATACCCCTTTTCTTGGGCAGAAATTTTTCTAGAAAAATAGAAAGAAAGAAAAGTAGCCCCACCACATTATCACCAAACAGCGAAAATAGCCGTCAGATCGAGCCCCCAGCACTCTCCCCCCCTCTCTCTCCTCGCAGCCGCAGCAGCAAGAAGAATTCCAGGCGTCGCTCTCTCGTTTCCTCCCCCCCCCCCCTCTCTCTCTCTCTCTTCTCTCCTCTGCGCGTACGAGCGAGACGGACGAAAGCAAAAGCTTTAAAGGGAAGGGGACGGGCAGCGAGGAGCGAGGGAGGTCGGGACGACGCCGTCGTCGTTGCGGGGGGCGGGGGGGCTGTGTGTGCTTTTGCTTTTGTATGGACTTGCGGATCAAGGTGGCGCAAGCCGTCCACGTGCTCAACCACGACGCCCAGTCCTGCAACCGCGTCGCCGCCAACCAATGGCTGGTCCAGTTCCAGCACACCGACGCCGTCTGGGAGGTCGCCACCTCCCTCCTCGCCTCCCCCGACCACCTCCGCTCCTCCGATCTCGAGGTCGAGTTCTTCGCCGCTCAGATCCTCAAGCGCAAGGTCCGCCTCCCCCCTCCCTCCCTCCCTCCCGATCGACCTCCGCTCTGCGACGGGGGCGGCTTCTTCTTCTTCTTCTTGTTGTCGTTGTGGTGGTGCTGGTCGGTTCGGAGGTCGAAAGTCGAATGCTTTGATTGTGGTTTTTAGGCTCCTTAGTGGCTGAGCTCTTCGATGGAGATGGTAGTTGCGCTAGGCGTACGTTGGGGAATTGAATGATCGGAACCGGATTAAAGGAGTTGTATGTGCTTTAGCATTCAGGGCGGTTGAGCTCAGCAAAACGTCGCGTATAGATAGTATGAAGTGTGTTAATTTGGTGATACTGGAATCTGACAGTGGTCGCGATGCTGCTCTCTCTCTCCCTTTAGTTTCTTTCCATCTGCGGATGTTCTTGCTTGGTCATCTTCATGAAATTTTGGTGATATACCTGTTTCTTTGGTTTCTTTCCATCTGCGGATGTTTTGGCTTGGTCATCTTCATGAAATTTTGGTGATATACCTGTTTCTCTGGGGACTTGGGGAGCTGGGCTGCGGCGAGGTCGGGCTTTTTTTCCTCAATCATTAGGCCTTTTTTTCTTTTCTTGGTTAAAGTCTTGATTTTTTTGGAATTTTCTTTTTGGTTGGGGCCGCCTGGGGGAGGGGGGTTGGGCAAATTCAGATGTCCAATCACTAGGAAATTTTGGTACACTTGACTTTAGTTCCGGCGTTTGAGCCATTTGAAATGTCATGTAATCTTGCGGAAAAGGGACTCGCTTTCTGAGGTTGACATTTATTGGACCGGACAATGAAGAAGCATGATGGGGATACACAGGAGCTTATCTTCCATTTTCATTAGGTATAAGAAAAAGGTCGGTTGAGTATAATGGAACAAGGGAAGACCTGGTCAAGGCAATCTTATTTAAGAGAATACCCCGGCTCATAAATGCCTATGGCAAGCAGGTATTCCATCAGAAGTCGACGTTGGAAATTGAGCTATCTCTCAGGCCAGTTTATGAGCATGAAGAACAGTTTTATGCTCATGCTATAGAAGAAAGCTTCGTGGCATTGATAGGCATATTAGGAGTCATTTCTGGATAGTAGGGATTTCCGTAAGATAGCGATCTCCATCTCCTTTGTCCTCCTTTGGCCTATTGCAGTTTAAAGGTTGTTTATTGCTTGAAATCAGCGAGAGAATGGAAACATGCAAAAGTACTCATGGTGAAACTATCTTTCTTTGTTGCCTTGAACCGTGATATGACTGTCAATGTGTTTCTTTTCTCTTCTTGCAGATCCAAAATGAAGGGCACTGTTTGCAGTTAGGGGCTAAAGAAGCCTTGCTTAACGCGCTTCTTGTGGCTGCAAAAAGATTTAGTTCTGGTCCCCCTCAGGTGCTTCCTTTCTCTCCTAATGGGACTTTGACGGTTCTTTGCCATGTCAAATAGATGCAACGTGTCACTTTATTCTACGAGTGGAGGATTCTTGAGATAATGTTTCTTTGATACTGCCTCAATTATTTGTTTGTGCATGTAACGATTTGATGAGGGTCATACTTTCTTAATGACAGCTTTTGACACAAATCTGCCTTGCGCTCTCAGCACTCATAGTTCATGCTGGTGAGCATGAGAAACCAATTGAACAGCTCTTTTATAGTCTCCGGAATCTGCAGAGCCAGGATGGTGGCAATTTGGCTGTACTAGAAATGCTTACTGTTCTGCCTGAAGAAGTAGTTGACAAACAGAACGCTGATTGCAGATTAAGTGCTGCTTGTAGAAGCCAGCATGGCCAAGAGGTTCATGAATATATTCCTGTTGCATTTAGATCTCTACGTTTTCTCTTACCCTCTTGCTTTGTCTTGATTTGTTCATGTCACTTCCTGGACCAGCTTCTTGCACAGACTCCTATGGTTCTCGAGTTTCTGCTGCAGCAGTCTGAAAAAGGTTTTGATGGCGTTATGCAACTCCCAGAACAAAATAGAAAAATCTTACGATGTTTATTGAGCTGGGTAAGAGTTGTAATGTTTTAATGGCTAACCTCCTTTCTACTGTATTTATTCATAGTGTTTAATTAAAGGATTAAACTCCTTGTGCATCTTTCTATATGTGGAGTCATGTTCTTCAGTAGCTTTACCCGAATTTTTCGATGGATGTGGTTTCTGAGTGTATCATTCCTTATTCTCACTAATATAAAAAAATGTAGTATATTGTCTCTTGTACAGTTGGTAATGTGAAATTCTTGGTTTTTGTGATAAAGATTTTTATTGTAGGTTCGAGCTGGGTGCTTTTCTGAGATTCCACAGGGGTCACTGTCTGCACATCCTCTTCTTAATGTTGTATTTAATTCTTTGCAGGTAATTATAATTTGTTAGTTCTTTTGTAATGGTCTTGTCTGATGTGAGTATATGCAGTTTTCACCATGTGTAATAAATGTTTTTTGTGCAATAAATAGTGAGTTTGTATGATATTTCAATCTGAGAGGATAATGTGTGACTTGACTTAACCAGGGTTAACACTTATGGAGCTTCACATAAGATCATTGCTTCAATTTCTACATGATGTAACATGCAAATGCTTATTCAGGACATAACTAATCATTATATTTTATTTCTTGAAGTTTCTTAATCCTTTTCTTGAATCATTGGGGAGTGAAATCACCCTGTTTCAAATGATATTATCCACAGTGCAAATGAAAGGGTGTCCCAGTATTTGTATGCAGAGCTTGTGAATAATAATGTGAAAAAGAAAGTATACATTAAGTGATGCATAAGTAAAACGAAAACTTCAGATTATCTGTGTGTTCTAGGAATGGTTTAATTTATTATGACAGTCATTGTTTGTTCTATCTATACATAATATTTGTAATGTTGTACATATGTATAAGCCCTAATGCCTTTTCTATTGTTGTTATAGGTCTCATCTTCATTTGACTCAGCAATTGAAGTTCTTACTGAACTTATAACTCGACATGAGGTATAGTAATGCCATTTGATGGGACCATCTTATATCTTAATGTCTTCATTATATTTGTAGTGTTGTGGAATTATTGTTACCTGTAGAAGATATTCTTCCTCTTGCCCAAGAACCATCTCTTCAACATGAGACAGTGTGTCAGTTTATACCTAATTTGGACCATCTGGTTGGATATGAAAATTCTTGTAAGCTTGCACCTTTTTTATTAAGGTGGAATGCCTCTATTATTTCAATTGTGTGGTTTTTTTGCATGGGGATAATTTTTGGACCACTCTGTCTGGTGCCGGTTAGCATATAAAATTGTTGTGCTTCTGAGTATCAAAAGACTGTGAATAATTAACTGCAGAGCCAGTCTTCAACTCCAAAGTGCTGTAAATTTGTGATTTCAAGAATGGGGGTCTGCCTCTGTGGATGCATCTTGGCCATTTTTGGCATTTGATGTTACTAGTGTCCGTATATATTTCTAGTACTCTTCATTACACTTTGTGACTTTTCTTGCTTCTTCTAGGGGCTACCCCCAGTTTTATTATCTAGGATACGTTTTCTTAACGAAATGCTTCTTCTACCGGCTCTTACCAATGGAGATGAGAAAGTAATTGCTGGTCTTGCGCGCTTACTTTCAGAAATTGGACAAGCAGTAAGTACCTTGTGGAATCATGTTTTACTTCATTTAGCTACAGACCATTGCAGTGGTTGAGAAATTTCCTACACTCCTGCCGTGGTAAATGGCCTGCTGGAAAAGTTTAGTCTCTCTCTGATTTTTTCCTGCTAAAATATCTCATATATTCTATACATTACCTTGTTAACTAGCTTTTCATTCCCTTTGCTCAATGTGAACCAGGCCCCTGCTTTGATTGCAGAAGCAAGTGCCGAAGCACTTGCATTAGCAGAGGCGCTGTTGAGGTGATATGTGATTCTACAGTTTAACTACAATTTTGTTCTGTATAATGGGCAGTTGAATGTCTTTAATTTCTTTATACGTTAAATACCATGGGCTTAGAATGCAGTGCATCAAAGGACTAGTTGAACCCTTTGGAACTTTAATGTTATGGCAATGTCTTACTCTTTGCTGTAATGACAGCTGTGTCAAATTTCCAAGCGAGGATTGGGAGATTGCAGACTCAACTTTGCAATTTTGGTAATTATTGTCGATCAATTTCTCTTGATTTTTGGTATGCTAGATTTTGTTTGGTTCCGTTAATTCAAGTAGACAGAAGTCATTAGACTTAGATCTGATATGATATTCAGTAGACTGCTCTTGTGCTTCAGTCTTGACGGCTGTTGACCTTCACTCTTCTTTTTATAATTCGAATGCATGTTTAAAATAGATGAGTTGATTTTTTTGTTTTACTTCTGTCTCTGTGAGCTTGTGATAAAATTGTTTGCTGAAAATCATCTCTAATTCATTTCAACATTTTTAGTGATCTTAGCGGATACAATATAGTAGGCTAGGTATATCCAATCGGTTGTATCTTCTTATTTGTTCTGTAGAGGAAAACTAGAGCACGGAATTTTGATTATTGGAGGAAACATAAAAGAGTGACCACACACCATTGACTGGGTTGAGATGTGAATTTGGGGTGGTTTAGGGGGTTCACATACCAGGGATGTCTAGTGTCTCGGCTATCATCATCGTGTAGGCTTTCTGCCATGCTTAAGCTCCAAACTTGAACAGGTTTTTTTAGGCTCTCTGTGAAACACTTGTAAATTTCTTTACTGTCTCGCTGGTTGATTCTTTAAATAGGTGTGCCGTATTGAAATGATAATTGATGAGCCTACCATTTGAAGCCATTGTCTCTTGCACTACGGAAATGACATTCTTGGAACATTTACTGGAATTGGGGACACTTGGATTGTACTTGATGTGACAGTATCTCCTTATTATCTTATATGATAGCGAACTTTGTTATGCTCTCCTTTGAATAAGTGAACACTTGCAAGTTTTGAGCTCGCATCTTTACTATTGTGAAGGCAAATTAAATTTGAGCTCTATTCATCATCTTTACTTTCAGGTCTACCCTTGCAAGTTTTATGCTTGGCCTTGATGTGGACATTGCAAACATTAGGAAGCACTTTGAAGATGTTTTTATTTCTATATTCTCGGCATTGCTTGATGCTCTTTTATTGCGTGCTCAGGTTTCTTCTCATCTCTGACACCTAGTTCAACTTTGGGTCGGATTTGAATAAGTGTGTCCTCATGTGTCCATCTTCTAACGGAAAAAGGGCATTGAGACATTGCATTATAGTTGACAAAATAAAAGATATGGAGCAACTCTTATCATGAAGGTAGTGCATATTGTGGGGTGGGCAACTGTGACAAATTTGATATCTTTAAGGTCAACTTGAGTTGTGAACTCTGCATTTTGAAAATATGCATGCCACGGGGCAAGACCAGTGGTATCTGGAAAGGCTATGACATGCTCTTCTGTACAAGGGATTCAGTTATACTGTTAGGTGTTTTAGGAACAAAACAATAACCAGTGTCGAGTCAATATTAGGGTTGCCACATGGATGTTAGACACATGTTTGATAAATGAAGCATCGAGGAGAACCAGCAGAGGTGCTTATCTATGTCCATTGTGTGCCCCAAAATATTTTGCTATTCTTCCACTTTTCTTTCTTCATCTCTTCCCTACCTCCCGTAGTTCATTAGAATTTCTATTTTGGCATCTGCAACAAGTAAAAGGGCTAGGAAGAAATGTAACTTTGCTTTTTATTTCCAATGGCACTTGTAAAGATTGTTTTGCTAAACATAGTCAATCATGCTCCGGAACGACAATGGAAATTTAAGATCTTGTTGCAAGTTAAGCAAACACATGAAGCTCCTAAATTTTTACCAATAGTAAAATTGGGATTGACTTATTTCTTTTACTTTTCTTGTCCTCAAGGTACATAGAAACTCTGAATTCTTTCTCTCTCCGACTGTTTGCATGAGATATATGTATGCTGCTATCGATTTATTACTAAAGTCTAAAGAGCGAAAACATGAAAAGACTTGTTTTCTCTCTTTTTTTGCTTCATGAATGCCCATCAAATTTGGTTATTGTACCTTCATCTTAGCATCCAACCTGGCATCAATAGATGTGTGATAAATTTTGGGCATTTGATCAATAGATGGAATCTTTTATACCTGGTTGGTTTGCTTGCAATGCCTCTTTCAGCCCTGGGTGATCAGTACAATTTAATTACGTATTAGAAAGAGTGAGATTTGGATTTTGTTGGTTAAATCTATTCAATACATCTTCCTTGTGACGATTTTGTTTATCTTTGGCTGTCCTGATTTTGAGCTCGATTTACTTAGATGAAGAGGAAGGGTTGAACAAAGGGAATAAAACGTAAATTACAACCACATGTTTGTCATTGTTTTATCCTCAGGAGTTTACCTCTATCGCTGGTTAAAGTATCTTCTTGACATAGTTTGTTCAGATTTTTTTTTCCTTCTGGTAAGGATGTGTGGTTTTCACTTAATGCTATTATTTAAACATTCTCCTTGAGTTGTTTAAACACTTGAATTTGTTGTTTTGCAGGTTGACGAATCTACATTCAATGATGATAGTGGAGTGGTTGATCTACCTGATGGCCTTGTCCAATTCAGGATGAATCTTGTTGAACTGTTGGTGGATATTTGTCAGCTTTTAGGATCTGCTACGTTCATGCAAAAGGTGCAAAGGAGAAATTACTGATTCCTTTTCTTTTCTGTATTATTGGGAACTTTTGTTTTATAATTTGTACCTTAATTACTCCAATGACTGCAAGACTGAAATCAATGGACTTTGATCCTTTGCACCATAAGTTTCCATGGCCATCGCCTAAATAGCACCGATACCGACACGTGACACGACACGGCACGACATGTCATTTCTCAAAAAATAGAGAATTTCGACACGTTGGGATATGTTGTATATTAAATGTATATTTTTATTTATACATGATAAATTATCATTTTTATGATTATTTCAATCAAATTAATTTGATTCATCCACAAATAAATAAATAATAAAAAAATAGCGTAGAATGAATTTACATTTTGATCCCTAATTTATTGAAAATGTTTAAAATTGACTCTGTGAGTGTTGGAATGGCATGTCGGGATGCTGGACTCACGTGTTGCTGGTGTGTCAGGAGCATGAATCACGTGTCAGATGTCTGACACCTGTTGACCACGTGTCGGTCGCGTGTCGGACGCGTGTTGGTGTCCGACACCGACACCAACACGAAGACCCTCGTAGAGTGTCCGTGCTTCCTAGGCCATTGCGTCATGTCAATTTGCTCCTGATATTCCTGTTTTTCTTGCATATATATATCTAATTGTTATGCCTCTCATGTTTTCCTTTTTGTCCTTTTCCTGCCTTTTACTCTATCTGTGTAATAGATTTTTAGGTTGACGTTGCTGAATCGTCATTTATTTATTGGTAGATCTTTTGCGGTGGTTGGATGCCAGTGAATGTACCACCACCATGGAAGGAGGTGGAAGCCAAATTATTCGCTCTTAATGTGGTAAGCACTTATAGGAATTAAAACTCACACTTATTTGCTCTTTATTCTAGTTTTGATAGTCATTGCATTGTGGAATTTGGACTCTTCTTAGGTAATTGGTACTTAAAGTATATTCGATAGACTAATACCTAAAAGTCTACATTACATGCTAGTCTCTGGCATGTTTTTCTCATTGGGAAAATAACACAAATGGTTCTTGAACTTTGGCCCAATGTGGTCCCTGAACTATAGCCCAATGTGTAATGTGGTCCTTGAACTTTCAATTTGTTCAATGTAGTTCCTGGACTTTTAATACATGTTCAATTTAGTCCCTAAATTATGTAAAAATGTTCAATGTTGTCCCTGAACTTGAATTAATGGAAGGACAACATTGAGCATTTTCATGTAATTCAGGGATTAAGTTGAACATGTATCAAAAGTCCAGGGACCACATTGAATAAATTGAAAGTTTAGGGACCACATTGCACATTGGGCTAAAGTTCAGGGACCGCATTGAACGATTAAAATTTCAAGGACCACATTACACATTGGGCCAAAGTTCAGGGACCGTTTGTGTCATTATCCCTTTCTCATTTGTATTTATGTGTGTACGTATAAACATGTATGTAGATGCCTTTTCACATACTCATTCGTTTTGTGTTCTCTTCTTTGTATCAGTAATTTGGACTCAATTTGTCGCTTGTCAAACTTTAAGATACCTTATCTGGTAATATTGTAGTGGTGCTTCTATGTTGGGCATGATGGCTAGTAAAGTCCAGTCAAATACTTTATATCTTAATATAAATGCACATATTCAAAGAAGTAGTTGAAACATCAGATTCATCACACGAATCAATAATTGGGGTCCTTGGATTTGCTAGCATAGTTGATAATTAAATGGAACACTACGAGCTTCTTGATCAGGTTTATGTTGTGGACTTTTTCATTGTGCAAGAATGAGCAGCTTGTGTTTATTCATTATAAGTTAACTGTGGCTACTTGCAATATTTCTCTTGTTAAATATACATTGGACAGACTGATTTTTACTATTTAGCTTTTTACTTTATTTTTTTTCCCAAATCTTGTGGCTCATGCAACTTGATTTTCATTTAACAAGGAACGCTTAAAATGTTTCAAAACATACGAATTTTGACATGTAATTTGAGTATATTTTCCCCTAAATTTTTATGTTTGAATAGTATTTGAAGTTTTGGCGGGAAAGTCATTAAGTGACTTTTTGCTTAAAATAAGTCAAAAGAGCGGCCCTACCTAATTTGAGTATATTTTCCCCTAATTTTTTTGTTTGAATAATATTTGAAGTTTTGGCGGGAAAGTCATTAAGTGACTTTTTGCTTAAAATAAGTCAAAAGAACGGCCCTAACTAACGATATAAAAGCAGTGCAAGTGCTTAGTTGGTTTAATCACGTTATTTAAATCAAATATAATCCAAGCAATCACAGGAATTTGGTTTTGATAATGCACGCGACTGATTGGAATAATTGAAGTACAAAAGGATTTGCTATCTCACTTTAATGAGTGCTAAACGATAAATTCTAACACAGACACAGCCTATGTGGCTACTGGTACAAATCTTTTACCAATTGGTCGAAATTTGACCCGGCTATATAAGAACTTTCTCATTTATATGGAAAGCCTCCTAGATGAGCTCTCAATCCCTCCTATTTCCTTCTGAAGTTTACTAGACTCTCTCTCCCTTCTACCGTCCCTCCCCCTCCCGCCAAATGGTCTTGTTGATGAATCCTATATGTGCTGCTCATCATAAACCAAAATTGTAGATGGGCAAGTTATGAAAATGAGTGCCCCCTTTGAATCCTTAACTAAACTGACCTCATCACCAAACAAAATAAAAATCACAATATCTGAGTCAATTAAGTTCAATCTCTCCAACTTTGCAAAAGTATGAACAAAACCATCAACAAAATCAACCAAATCGGTCACACGGCCCTTTTCATAAGATGGATTCATTGGATTTCAATTGAAAGTCATGTTCAAGGGAGGAGATGGGGTCAATTATAAGTTCTGGACTTGGCAATCACAATCTGTTTGATTAGAGCATCTGCAATTTGATTTTTGTACCATGCGTTTCTTCTTGGCAGATTGGATATTCTCTTCATTCTCTAATGTCTTGTGTTTGTTCGAGTGGTTTTAATGGTTTGATCTGCTCATGAAAGGCATCATCATTGGTCTTTATATTGGAGTACCTCAATTTAGGGTTAACTTAAGATTTAACTTTGCCTGCATGAGTGAATTCTGAGGGTGAAGTCACCTGTTAGCGCTCAAGTGCAGTGCAAGTGAAGGGAGAAAAAGGGTTTGAAATCTGTTTCCCGACATTTATGAAAGGCCGATTGTCATTTCTCATTGTTAAGGGTGAATTTTGGAATCCTTCTTTTCATCCTGTGCAACATAATGGTCACGCGAGAGACTTTTGCTGATCAAACAATCAAAATAAAGAGAGAAGTAGATAACTTAGATTAGAAAGGTTAACGAAGGGAAGAAGGAACTGTTTATCTGTGGAGTGGGCGCAGCTTTGAATACACTGTTGCTAGGGCTCTACCTTGCTTATTTGCTTCCTTCAAGGGCATTGTTGTTTTATTGATGAAAAAGCTATGCCCACAGCTAGTTAAATTGTGAAATTGCGTTGTCCATATGTCTACTAGAGTAAGTAACTCAAGATATAAAACAATGAAAACTTCCTGCTGTTATGTTCTAGGGAAGCAGCTTCAATTTTCAAACTGCTGCATCTCTATGGTGGCTGCTTGCGTGGTTTTAATCAGGAATGTATGCTTGCGGTCATTCATAAGTGGCTTAGTTTGTAAGGATAGCCTTGTCATCTTGTTTTCTGCTGTTTAATTGTCCGGATTTTAAATATTCCAGGTTTCTGAAGTTGTCCTTCAAGAAGGCCAAAGCCCAGACTTCTCTGCAATTATGCAGCTAGTGATAGCATTATCAGCCAGGCCTTCTGCTGAGCTGAAGGGCTTTATGTGCCTTGTATGTCAGATGTAGCCTTTCCGTACATATATTATTTTACTAGTCCCATAGGAACTCAAGTACAGATAAAATGCTGAACTTTCACATCAGGGATGATCCATTTGATCTTTACTTTTTAAGTAGGGCTTCTACTTTGTAGGTTTATAGAGCACTTGCGGACATTATTGGTTCCTATTCCAAGTGGTTCTCTGCTTTCCAATCAAATGCAAGGCCCTTATTGTAAGGAGCTCCTTCATCTAGTTCATTCAAATCAGTACATTTCAAAATGCAGCCTCTCTTTTATGGAGGTTCAGGGGGGCACATCTTAGAGTTATTTTTTACGTCTCCTTTATATGTTTTTTACCTTATTGGTTATTTTCTGACATCATTTGAAGTATCGTAAAAATGTTGTCTACAACTTGTGTTTAAGACTTGCGCGTTTATTTTTTGTACTGAATCGATGCTTTCAGATTATTTCTTGCAACAGGCATATCAGAACTTCCATCATCCAATTCTTGTGCTTCCGCCCTTCGTAAATTTTGTGAAGATGCTTCTGCAGTACTTTATGAACCATCCAATTTGGAAATTTTGGTGTGGATTGGAGAGGTGAATATCTTTCTGATCTGCTATGACCTTGGCAAGCACTTATTTGTTGCTTCATTTGACGGTGTGTGTTCCAATATGGTTATTTTTAAACCATGTACTTAGCTGTGGATGACCATGCTAAATCTGTTGGCTAGAGAGCGCAGAAACAAGTTTTCCTCTCCATCCTCTAATCCTTTTTACTGATTAGGTAGTCTTTTCTCTGTTACTGGTCATCACGTGTTGCTCAAGTGAGAGAAGCCTCTGCTATTTTTTTCCTGAAAAACCTCTTATTTTGAGGCAAAAGTTTCATCGCATCTGGAATTTTGTTTGTCCGTCCCCTCCCTCCCTCCCTCCCTCCCTCCCTCTCTCTCTCTCTCTCTCTCTCTCTCTCTCTCTCGTGCTCATAAATGCAGCTTTTTCGCTTATTTTTTTTTCTATATCTTCTGGTTCAGGGTTTGGAGAAGAGACATCTGCCTTTGGAAGATGAGGAGGAGGTTGTAAGTGCAATTAGTTTAGTTCTCAGCTCACTACCTAACAGAGAGTTGAAGAATAATCTGTTGACTAGATTGCTCTCTGCTAGTTATGATGCCATTAGTAAACTTGTAAGTGAAGCTTCCACCTCAGATTGTTTCCTTGATTGTTTACTATTTTTTTTCAGATATTTAGGCATGCAGACCTTTTATATTCTTCTCGGTACTCGTTGGAAGAATCTCAACGAATGATGAAAATTCACGTCAACAATTGTCCCAAGATTATTTCTCTTTTTCTAAACCCTTGATTTTTCAAGAATCCAAGATCCAGCTAATCTGTTTGGATCACTGAAGCCTTTGTTAATGAAGACAAAAACGTTTTTTTAATGCTTTGATTTCCTTGCTTTACAAGTGTGATCAATCCATAGCAATTCTCAAATGACAGCCTTAGAAGGATATCCATTTGCATGAAAGATCATTACGAGTTCTCATGTTAGCTTCTTGTTATAGGCTTGCAGATTCTCTTTAGCGAATGTACCGTCAATTACCATTTTCATGCCATTATTGAACAGCTTCTAAAGCGACGAGGTCAATTTTTGTTCCAATCTCTTATAAGGATATAATTACTTTAAAGCCAACAAACAGAATATCCCTAACATATCCTGTTAAAGCTTCTCATTATTTGCAAACTTAGGGAGTACTATCAATTGTCATCAATAAGTCCCTGTTTAGTTAGAACTGCAAGTATAGAAGATTTTTAATGGCAAAGGTTTAGTCTCATTACTGGTTAATGGTTTCCTCTTGAGCAGTACATGGGCCAAATTTTGTGGTACTTTGACTGTGCTTTTATTAGAGTTTCAAATTTCTCTCTTAGGTGGGCCTCTAATCCATCAGTACCTTTTTGGCATATAACTTTTACTTGGCAACAGAAAAAGGTCACTGTTTAGGAGTAGAATTCCATAAATTTTGAGGCTCTGGAACTGTGAATCTCATACTTCGGTTGTGGAGTTCTTTTGCAAATAGAAGTGTCTTAGAGGATGCAATAGGAGTGTCACTATGTTTTTGATCTGTGTGGAGAAGAAATTCATACTAGATGCTCCTGTGGAAGACAGAATTTAGATGCTCCAATGAAAAGATGTGATATTATGATGGAGATGCATGGTGAAATGGGCAGGAGAAAGCTGATAAAGTTACGGGATATACTTTGAAGAAATAGGAGAATCTTTTGATAGGAAGGGTACTTATATTGTCACTAGAAAACAAACTGTAAGTCTTTTGCTCTGACTTCAGCCCTAAGTTTTGATAGAGTTAAGAGAAGCGACATTCTGAAATATGAGGTATGATTAAAGAAAAGTAATGGGATTGATTGGGTGTTCTGGCAGAAAGTTTTTAGCTCAAGCGGGAAAACATCACTTGGGGCAGCTCAATTTTGTACTAAGAGATGTGAAAAGGAAAGAAAAACAAATTTAAACGTTGTTAGGTGTCTAATCTGCTTTGGATTTCTTGCAAATAGGCATCTCAAATTCTCAAGTGGAGGAAATTCCAAAGGGCAGCTGTGTTTTTCTTTTGCCTGCTCATGAGCTAGTGCCCAAACCATGGATCTGACTTTGTTTTCATCTTCTTTACACACAAAAGTATTTTGTACTCCTAGCATATCCAGATGATCAATTTTGATTGGCAAAGACCCAGAACTTTTGGTTGAATGCAGTTAGCTGCTTACGTAATTACATTTGACTGCATGTATGAGTTTACCATCGATACTTAATCATTTCTCAGATTAGTGAAAACGGCAGCCATGCTCTGAGACCAAATCCAGCAACTTATGCACAAACTTTGTCCTCTGCCACCAGAGGGTTGTACAGGTCTGCATTCACTGCTTTACTGATTATGTTATGGCTCATGCTTAAGATTTATTTAATAACTTCCTATCTACTGTCCTCTTCTGTGGAGGTCATGCTGATGAACTTTTGGATGAATATTGAGTTAGCACTTTGTATAGCTGGTTGGTTGCTTGTTGTTTGGCATGTGACGTTACTTTTCTCAACATTTCCTTTGCTGTGTTGGTCCATAATTTTGTTTTGTTAAAGTGTGAATGTCGTGCACTTCCAGGATGGGAACTGTGTTCAGTTATCTTTCAACGCCTCATCCAAGTGGACCTGCCGATGATGATCCAATACTCGCCCTACTAAGGGTGTTTTGGCCTATTTTGGAGAAATTATTTAGGTCTCAACACATGGAGAATGGTAACTTGTCCACTGCAGCTTGCCGAGCTCTCTCACAGGCGATTCAGTCCTCAGGTTTTGGTTTCTATTTTTTCTTTAGGATGTTTTTGGTATGCCGATTGTATGAAGCGGAACTTGTTTAAATTTGTAGGGCAGCATTTCTTGACTCTATTACCCAGCATACTAGACTGCCTTTCAGCCAATTTTTCAATGTTCCAAGATCGAGAATGCTTCATAAGAACAGGTACGCCAGTGTAACTGAAGTTGGTAGGTAATTATTCCGGATTCACCCATAAAAAAAAGTTCTCGTATCCTGACAGGTCCTTGAACTTGGCTTACTAATCTGAAGTTTAGTAATGTGATTAACTTTGCTAAGAGAAAGAATAATGCATTAGTGCATTGTAAGACAGTTTCAGTCATACTGATTCATCTAAGTTTTTTTTTTGTCCATAGCTGTTCTGAGATATTGGTGAGGTTCACCACATGCTTGCTGTTATGAAATAGTGATGAATTAATATGTAGCCTGTATATAGTTTTGCAACTTAGTTGAAGGTGCAGTTGTTTCAGAAGCAAGCAGTTTCCAATTTGGTATTATGTTGGGTTTGTATGCTTGGGTGGACAGAGTTATTCAGAATGCAGGTCACTGATAAATGGGACCCACTGGATCATCACCAACCATTATTGTTACAATCTCATCATCAGCATGATGTTTTGCATTGGACCTTTTATTTAATATGTCAGCGGTGATACATGAATCGTATAGTCAGTATATTTTCATTTCTTTTGCTTATGTGTGGCAACAAACTTCTCGTCAGCTTCTATTGTCATTGAGGAATTTGGCCAAAAGGAAGAGTATGGACCTCTATTTGTCACCACTTTTGAAAGATTTACTCAGGCAGCATCAGTGATGTCGCTGAACTCATCCTACGTATGTGACCAAGAACCCGATTTAGTGGAGGCCTACATGAACTTTGCATCAACATTTATTCGAGGACTACATAAGGTTCAATGCATCCTGTCCTTTTATTCATGATTAGATGATTTACAGGATGCTGTTAGAGATAATACATCTGTTAAAGTTGAATGACTTTTTTTTTGCTTCTAATACCTCAGGATGTACTGGCTGTGTCTGCTTCGTCTCTTCAAGTTTCCTTCCAAAAGGCAGCAATATGCTCCACAGCTATGCATCGTGGTGCAGCTCTGGCTGCAATGTCATATCTATCTTGTATGTATTTGATTCAAATTGACAGCTCGTATTACATCTGTTAATGCATATTTAAATGCGAAGTCTAGCTGCCAGTAACGTTTTCTCTAGTGCATATGTGCTCCTTGGTGATCCGACATTTTGTTCTTATGGTTACCCTGTTATCTCTCTCTTAAACTGTTCTTTTCTGTTACACCAGTTGCAATGAACTGCAGCAATTCAATTGCTTTTTCTTTTTGTGTCGGAGTCATTAACTCCTCGAATCCAAGATATTTTTGTCTTAATGGCATAACTTCTGTCTGAAAAATTCTCGTGAATTCGAGGAATGTGCTTACGGGGTCCTCAAAGCTTTGCCTCTTTGAGAATAAGAAACCATACCATACCATGCAGTCGACGGTTAATTTTTCACATTGTTGTGGAATTTCTCCAAGATCGTGGCCTTATCCACTAGATGATTTATATTCTTCATCCTGCTTGAATTTCTTTATCATTTTACTTTATTGATGTAGAATTGTCAACTTATGGATATCTTGCTGATGGCAATTGCTTTAAGGTCTATTATTTTTGTCTATTCTTTCAGGTTTCCTGGAGGCAGCTTTGACCTCTTTAACAGAAACAATAGCTTGTGTGCCCGAGGAGCCCTTTAATGCCATGGTCATTCATGTTGCATGTCATTGTGGTGAGGGACTTGTATCAAACCTTTTCTACGCTCTGCTTGGTGTTTCTGCAATGTCAAGGGTAAGGATGTTATGCTTGTATTTCAATGTTTTGGCACTTGCATGTTGGATTAAGTTTCCTTTTTATTCCTTTTCTTTTTCTTTCTAGGGGCTGGGGTGGGAGGCATAAATATTTATTCTGAATGCTTTCTTTAATTAAACTTCTTTAGATATTTTTTATGCTGAAACTACCGAGCCGGGATAGGAATTTTTAGGCTGACTAGCAGCTTGTATAACATTCCTTTTCAACTAATTTTTTATTTCCAATTTTTGGACTAGAAATGAAGAAAAAAGTTTCACTTTTTCAATTCTAGACTGGGTATTCTGCTCATTCAGATGAGGTAACTTGTTTTGAGAGTTTCTCTTAGCGTGTGCAGTTACGGTTGTCTAGATATTTCAGTAAGTGCTCTCAATTGTAAACTATTTGTATATTAATCTTAATACAGAATATTAAGCAAATAAAGGAATAAAATATTTGGCACGAATATTTAGTGCATTTTGAAGCGATGAAGCTACATGCAGCCTATTTTGTTCAAACCTTCACTTAAAAGTTGGACCGCTTAGGTTTCAGGCTATGTTAAATGCCTTGCCATAAGCTTATGTCACAGTCATTCATCTTGTAGAATAGCTATATGACGGGAACGTAAAGGTGCTTTCTTTTGACAGGTTCACAAGTGCGCCGCAATCTTGCAACAGGTGGCTGCAATTTGCAGCTTTAGCGAAAGGACATCCTGGAAGGCGATTCTCAGTTGGGACTCTTTGCATTCATGGCTCCAAGCTGCGGTCTCTCTCTCTCTCTCTCTCTCTCTCTCTCATGCACGTGTTTTTTAAATGATATGCCACCTGCTTTCAAAATTGTTGTTCTATCATTCCCTTTACTGCATTGGCAGGTACAAGGTCTTCCAGTAGAGTATCTGACACTGGGTGAGTCAGAAAATCTGGTCCCGCTTTGGTTAAAGGCACTTGCTGGCGCAGCGTCTGAGTGTCTTGACAGTTGGAGCTCGGATGGGGTTAAGAGTAACTGTGGGCATATGCAAGGAAAGGGAGGGAGAGTCTTAAAACGTTTGGTACGAGAATTCGCCGACAATCACCGTAACATTCCAAATTTGACATGATTGCTCACATGCCAATTGAACATCGAGCGCAACCTACCCAGCCCCTCAAGCTTTAAGGCTTCTGCTGCCTTCCGTCGCTGATGCAGCATGGACACTGTTCTGTAAATTGACGGATTTTAGTGAAGCGTGGTCCAGTGGTCATTTCCGGGAGGTTCATTATTTAAGCGATTCCCCTGTTTTCTATCGATTCTTCAGCAGATCATTCCCAAAAAGCTATATTTGTACAGCAGAATAGCGCTGTCTTTCGGGTCTCGAAGAGCAAACAGAGGATAATCTTCTTGTTTGTAATTTTGGTTTTCTTTTGGCAAAGGGTAGGAGCCAGGGTTACACAATTGTCACCGTTCGAGCATATTTTAGTCTTCAAATGTAAATTTGGAATGGCTAATGGTCTCAGATGAAATTTTGTTATGTATAGTCCGATTATTCACAGAATCTTCGCCAGTTTCGTTTATCGCTCTCTCAACAGTCGGAAAATCGGCGATGTTTGGTTTCATTTAATAGTACGATCTCGTATTTGATGTCTAAGCAATCATTTTCTGACGGCAACTCCCGGGGAGTCATGCTATGTCCCTTTTCAAGGCCAAGGCTAATCGATCTCCTAAATTAGCAGTAGAGATCGTCGCCGGAAGGATAATGCCGATGAAGATCAAATTCTCGACCCAATGAAGATCGAATTCTCGACTCTTTCGGAGACCGAAAGCCCGTGTGGTTTTCTATAGTATAGAATTGGACTTACCATTTCCATGTTGATACGGATTAGATGTTACATTTTGTTTGAGCCTCAATCGAAGTGGCTTCTTCATTTAACACTATCAAGACGCTTTACGGTCATCCTAGTGCCAGTAGGGAGACTCTGGACACTCTTGAGAAAATCATCATCTCGCAAGCACGACGACCAAATCCTCTCTCAAATGCCTTCTACTAAGTGCAAGAGAGTTGGGATGCCGGTAAGTTCGCATGCGGGAAAATTACCAAAAAAGTCCTAAACCTTTTGCAGTTGTGCCAATTCAGTCCTAAACTTTTTGCAAACCAGCCAATTCAGTCCTTTTGGCCGGCCGGCACTGACGTGGCCGCCAACCGGCCTCCACGTGGCAATATTTTATTATTTTCGAATTTTTTTCTCTTTTTTCTTTTTTTTCTCTTTTCCTTCTCCCCCTGGCCTGTACGGCCAGGGGGAGGCTCGCCGGCGAGGGCCCAGCTCCGGCGAGGCGAGCTGGGCCCTCGCAGCCGCTGGGCGAGCTTGCCCAACTCCGACGAGGCGGAGCTCGCCATGGCTGGGCGAGCTCGCCATGGCAGGGCGAGCTCCGCCCTCGCCTAGCGGCGGCGAGGGCCCAGCTCGCCATGGCTAGGCGAGCTTCGCCTCGCCAGATCTGGGCGAGGGCGGAGCTCGCCCAGCCAAGGCGAGCTCCACGTCGCCGGAGCTGGGCGAGCTTGCCATGGCTGGGCGAGCTCTGCCCTCGCCCAGATCTGGCGAGGCTCGCCCAGCGGCGGCGAGGGCCCAGCTCGCCATGGCTGGGCGGGCTTCGCCCTCACCCAGATCTGGTGAGGCGGAGCTCGCCATGGCATGCCCAGCTCCGGCGACGCGGAGCTCGCCTTGGTTGGGCAAGCTCCGCCCTCGCCCAGCGGCGGCGAGGGGCCCAGCTCGCCTCGCCGGAGCTGGGCCCTCGCCGGCGAGCCTCCCCCTGGCCGGACAGGCCAGGGGGGAGAAGGAAAAGAAAAAAAGGGAAAAAATTCAAAAATAATAATAAAAAATATTAAAATATTACCACGTGGACGCCGGCTGGCGCCACGTCAGCCGGCCGGCGGCCACGTCAGCGCCGGCTGGTCAAAATGACTGAATTGGCCGGTTTGCAAAAGGTTTAGGACTGAATTGGCCCAAAAAAAAGGTTTAGGACTGAATTGACACAACTGCAAAAGGTTTAGGACTTTTTTGATAATTTTCCAGTTCGTATGCCTATACCGTCATCCCTAACACCACTCGCCGGAAGTCAACATCGTTCGTTTTCGCCTTACGCAACAAGAAATTTGCAAGTAAAGAATGCCTCGCCAAACGTGGTCATCACCATCGCCGCACTTCATCCTCGCCTCTTTCGACGATGGCCCTTTGCCAAGAAGATATAGCCACAAGTATAGGGTGATTATTTGTACTCGCAACGGCTTCCTTTGGGTGGGTACAGTGGATAAAAAATGTGATGGTTTACTTTCAATGCGTTTTGAAAGGTCAAACACCAGCACGTTCTCCACCACATGACAAAAATAATTTATCTACTAAACCGAAATGCATTTGTAGTCTTGCAGAATTCGCCGCGCTGTTAAAATTCTACATAATTGGTGTTCGGGTCAGGTCATGTTAATTCATGTAGCTGATGAGGCCAGCCCTTGCTGGCCTCCGGCGTGGGCGGTCCTCGCCAAGTGTTTCCTTTGGCCAGGCACCGGCCATCGCCCAAGCCCAGCGATTGGCGGGAGGAAAAAGAAGGGAGAAAGAAAAAAAAAGAAAAGAAAATATATAAAAATTCGGAAAAATATTATTAAAAATTATTCACGTCAGTGCCGGTCGTGTCACGTAGGACGGCCGGCGTCGACGTCGGCGATTTTCAGGCAAGATTGGCCAGGAGGACGCAATTGGCAAAACGTGAAAATATTTATGACTTAATTGGCAAAATTAAAAATATTTATAACTAAATTGGCAAAAGTGCAATAGGTTTAGGACTTTTTCAACGATTTTACCATGAATTGGATCACGGATCAGCCTGTTCTTTTTGTTTCTTGGACAAAAAGATGAATAAAGAAGAAGAAGAAGAAAGGCGATTGTTAACGTTATTCCAAAGAATTGATGATGTTGACGTTCTCGCGGACAAACGAGTAAGTTTTTACACCGCTAATATAGAATCAGTTCCAGAAGAGGAGAACAACCTATTTCATTGTTCTTTTGACAAAGGTCAGACGCCAACAGGTTCAGAGAAGTGCTCAAGAAATAGCTGACTCGGAATAAGCACTATCTTGCCACTTACAAACTCAAAATATCCAACGACGATGAGAGCCTGAGGCTGAAAATCCTGATAATGACCTCATAAGTAAAAACTTTGGTGGTTCAGGTATCAGCAAGCGAGATCAGCTGATCGACAACAGATGGATCTGCCAGTGTGCTGGTGTCTCCAAGCTCGTCTAATTGCCTCGATGCGATCTTCCTCAGGATTCTCCTCATTATCTTTCCACTGCGGGTTTTCGGTAGGCCAGGCGCCCAGTGAATTTTGTCAGGTGCCGCAAAGGCTCCAATCTAAAAGTCAGACAACCAATAAATCAGATTGCCTAGTCGAAAGTTACGTTTATGAATTAGCTCTCAGAAGTTACACAAGATGGACCGAAAAATAGATTTCAACTGTTTATTAGTTCATAAACGAAGATTGAGTTTATTGTGAAGCCCGATTAAGCCAATAATAGCACAGGAAGCCAAAAAGGCCCTGCAACATATAATGGAACCTGGCCCTACATTTGCTATCATTTATACATACAGCGACACGAATTTAACAAAAGTTAAAAAGAAAGAAAGAAACCAAAAAGAAAAGATATTGGCGAAGTGTTAGAGGCAGTGAGTTCATCATGATCCATCAGCCAAAAGTTCCCATTTAGCATGTGTTCCACTCTTTGATCATTCTTGTTATACACCTCATGTAAGGAAAGAGAGATAGAGCTCCATGTGATGAATACGTTCATTTGAATCAGAAAACTTCTAGATAGCTAAGGTCAAAATCATTAGACGTCATCAGGGAATCAACTAAAAAATTAGAGGTATCTAATAATCAAATGAGTAGTAGGAGTGAGATCTATAGCATTAGGTGCCCCATGGTAATTACGGAGGGATTGAGCACTGTTTGCAAAGCCCAAAGACAGATTAAAAGGAGTAAGTAAACAAGAGGTTCAATGATATTTGTTTTGAGTGGGATTAGTATGTGGAATGAAAATGAGATACCGTCACAATCATCATCACAATAAAAATTTACTATGTCCAGAACTTGCATACTGTCGGATGACAAATTTAAGTCACTTAGGGGAGTTTTCAGAAAGCAAGAGTGCTTAGTTTTCAAATAAAGAATTGAGTGTTAATAGGATGCAAACCTGTTTCCTGACGTTGAGTACGAGGCTTTTTCTCAGTTCTTCGCTGTAAGGTTCACCTTCCACCAGAGTGACAAAGGCGTAAATACCCTGTCCTTTAACCTAGAGACAAAAACATGATTTGTTAGCATTTAAAGCAAGCATAGAGAAACTTTCATCAATTACTCTCTCTCTCTCTCTCTCTCTCTCTCTCTCTCTCTCTCATGCAAACAAAGAACACAGAGGAAGAAGCGCGCAAAAGTACCTCATGCTCAACGGCAACAACTGCAGCTTCCGCACATTTGGGATGTGAGACAAGAGCAGATTCCACTTCTGCTGTACCTATCCGGTGTCCGCTGCAGAGGCAAGTGAAGCATCATCAGATAAAAAGTCCAGTATCTAAGGATTACTGAGTGCTTTAAGAAGGAAAAGAATTGGTCTTTGGAAGTTGCTCAACAAAAACAAAGCCACATTGTATGAGCACGACAAAACTGTTCAAATGCAGAGGTATTAAAGAGAAGATCATGAGAAATTTATGCAGTACCTGACATTGATGACATCATCAACTCTACCAGTCAGCCAGTGGTAACCATCCTTGTCCCTGCATCAATGGTTGAGCGAATTAAAAAATAATGAAGTCAAATTGTACAACTTACAGTGCAAAAGATATAACCATAACTACACCTTCTAAAGATATATAAAAACAAGAATATTTAAGAAGGAATTGTACAAACATCCCTAGTAAGAACACAGGCATAATGCAAGTAACTAAACCAATAATTTGATGGGTAACAACTAACCTGCTGCAGCCGTCACCAGTAAAATAGTATCCTGGGAATGGCTTGAAGTATGTGGTTTCGTATCGCTCATGATCACCATAAAGTGTACGAAATGCCCCAGGCCATGAACTTTTAATGCACAGGTATCCACTACACTCGCCTTCAATTTCAATCCCTTTCTCATCCACTATGACAGGCTGCACAAAACAAAGGTGGAAATTAGTCGGAGAGACACTTGTGAAAGGCTAATGAGTTTTTCAAAGGTCAAGGGAATGAAAGAGTTTAGAGACCTGAACCCCAAAGAAAGGAAAAGTAGCAGAACCAGGTTTCTGAGGCCAGGCACCAGGTAATGGTGTGATCTGCAAGGTAGGTCAGTGTCACCGGAGTCAGATTGAGACCATAAAGTGAATTTTGCGGGCATTCTTTGTGAAAAATTCTAACATGAACCCAAACGAAGAATAAAAATGTACCATGAAGCCGCCAGTTTCAGTTTGCCACCAAGTATCAGATATAGGGCACCTTGAATCCCCAACTAAATTGAAAAACCACCTGAAGAAATGTACACAGGTTTATGGATCTAGTGAAAAATTATCTACATCAGAAAGTTAGGATAAAGCTCTGCACCTCCATGCACTTGGATTGATAGGCTCGCCAACACTTCCTAAGACCCGCAAGGATTTGCGTGAATACTTGGTAACATGCTGCAGCACCAGAAGCAACTTGATGACATTGTTGTACCATCATGAAGCTGACTTTAAAGAGCTTCTAGACTCATGACCGCAACATAATGGAAGAAACAGAGTGGCTGTAGGTGAAATTCAACAGCATGTACATGCAGGGGTACATACATTGAAAGGACACTCAATCAGCCAACCGTTTTTCAGATGGTTAATTAGGTTAAATGGACATGGATGAGGAAGTCAGTTGACACAAGAGGAAGTTACATGGAATTACTTTCAGTAACAATATATCTAGACAAGACACCTTCAAGTCAAGATCCACATTAGTTCAAGGTAACAGAGGATTGCTAAGTTTCTAACCACAAAGTTAGGTGTCAAATCTTAGAAAGACTTGCCTCATCACCATCACGCATGAGCGATCTCACCAACGTAGGCGCAGTATAGAAAATTGTCACCTTGAATTTGTCGACGATATCCCAACAGCGTCCGGAGTCTGGATAATTTGGTGCCTGCAGCAAATCAACATAATTGGTTAAATGCGAGTGCAAACAAAATGAGCATAAAACAATACAGGCAAGAGAATGATTCCTGTTTTCATAATTACTGTCTCCAGTACAACTGACTTTGATAGCAGGAACAAAATATGGATACTCTCTTACTCTTGGACTAGAGAACCACCTTTTCTTTCTGCTATTATAGTTTTCTAATTCTGTTTCTGACTGTTTCATCAATGATACTTCTATTTGGGTTAAAAGAGCATTCTTCCACTTCATAGAATGCTAAATTGCCAAACTTCCTTAGATTCATTTGGTGATGGTACTCAAATATTATCTATTTAATAGCTCCCTGGTAATATAACCTGGTCGAGCATTGGCTAATCGCAAGCAAATAACAGAAAACCAAAACAAATAGCATGCATTTCTTTTTTAGAGGATCTAAGTCACCAAGTACTTCAATGAACTAGTCTGATTCACTTTTTTAAGGAATTATGAATTCAAATGACATACATCAACCTCATCTGAAGTTCTGAACACTCAAATTGCAAAGTCATGAATGAATTATTTATGAGGTCCCCACACTCCATATGCAAACATAAAATGTTGTAAGGAAGACTGTGAAGCATTACCCCTTCAAAAACTACAACAGATGCTCCATTGAGCAAAGGTCCATAGGTAACGTAACTGTGCCCAGTAATCCAGCCACAGTCAGCAGTGCACCTAGACCAGGTGGGTAGAAACGGAAATATGAGTTGCAAAATAGTCGAAGAGATTGTGGATGCGACCTTTTCATGGACATAATGGATGAATTGACTTACCAGAAGATGTCATTTGGTTTATAGTCAAACGCATACTTGAATGTCGTGGCAGTGTATAACATATATCCTCCGGTAGTATGGAGAACACCCTATAAGAAGCTTCATATTAGCACATACTAAAAGAAACAAAGAAAGATGCATGATCCTGAATGAATCGAGTCTTGAACCTACCTTCGGTTTTCCAGTGCTACCACTGGTGTAGAGGAGAAAAAGTGGATCCTCTGCATCAACCCACTCTACTTCACATGTCGTTGGATACTTAGGAACAACGTCCTAGAAGCCAAACATCGCTCATCAGTTTCAACTATAAAGCAACCACCACAATCCAATTCAAACTCTTCTAAGTTGAGAGCCTAGCAATCCAAAAGTTATAAATTGTCCAACTCTTCTAACGAGTGGACAATAAGTTCCCTTTTTGAAGAATCTACTATACATGCCGGTGAAATTGTCCGAATAGAGTGATTCCATCTTCTAAATATAGGATTTCAAGAATTTAGTTATATGAACCTGCCACCATATATCTCTCCCTTCCTTCCATTTGGTGCTTTCTCTGTTCATGGCTAATTCATTTTCATACGTTAAGCATACACCTGCCCGAAAAGGAAATTAGTTAAGTCATTTGAGGACATGAACAACAAACATATCAAAGCACATTCAGTAAAATCGATCATAATTGAATGGGAGAAAGATATCTTATCAAGATTATCGCTTTAACGAGCAGAATTATAGGGCTAAGTATGGGTCTTTTGTACACCTCAGACTAGATAAAAGATTTCAAGATAGACTAGTTTGACACTTTACTCCATTGGCCTCTCAGCAGCAATTGGTTTAAAAGAAGGCAGCCAGAAGCAAATAAACCAGTAAGGTCCATATGAGAAGCTATCCATGTTCTCCTTTCTAAAAGGATAAGGTTACCACATTGCAAATGGACAACAAAGCTTCTACTCTAACATAAGAAGGCTCACATCACCTTGGAAGATTGATTTGGATAATAACAGTTACCAAATTATTATTCATGATTTTGTAAATGCCGCTACAGATTTTCATGAGAACAATTCTTCAAGACAATGTTTTCCCTTATGAATTAGTAATATTACTTCAATATCAGTTTACCATTCATCCCATGAATTAGTGAATGACCTTTTTAAAGTTGCAGTACTAAGTCCAGATTGACCATACATCTATCATCAACATCTTCTAGGTCCTAACTGAATCAAAGCTCGCAAGGAAGAGAAGACAACAAGGGAAGACAATTTGTTCATCAGATCACAAGTAAATATTGGTAAATCCCATACCTACAGAAACTCCATTGCCAGATGACTCAACAAGGGCAGCATCAACTATGTCTTTCAGATGTATGACCTTGGAACCTCTTTTAACTGCATTGCAAGTAATAACAACCTTCGATTTGCAATCCACGATTCTTTGGGAAAGAGACTCAGCAGAGAATCCAGCAAACACAACCTTAAAGAAACAAGAAACGAAGCAATTGGTATAGGAACATCAAGTACTGGAGAACGAAATGTATATGGGAGATAAAGAGATCTAGCAATACCGAGTGTACAGCACCAATACGCGCGCAAGCAAGCATGGCTATTGGCAGTTCCATTAACATGGGAAGATAAATTACCACCGCATCACCCTTCTTAACACCGATGTCCTTCAAGTAATTTGCAAGCTGAACCAATACACAGTTACCAATCACAATTAACTGAACATCTTTTGACAGAGACTACTTCATGATCCAACATGCTCGCTAGCAACATAATGCATATAAGCATCGTATCAACCTGGCATATTTTTTGAAGCAGCTCTGAGTAGGTCAAGGTGCCATCATAACCGGGCTCGTTCCCTTCCCAGTAGATCGCGATCTTGTCTCCAAGTCCAGCTTCCACGTTTCTATCCAAGCAATTGTAGCAAATGTTGGTAACACCACCTTTGAACCACTGCTCAGTCAACAAGCGAAATCACAAAAATGGGAATGATGCATTCCTTTCCGAAAGAAAAAAAATTCGAAAAACTTCAGATTATTCATGACATGGCAAGAGAGGTGAACCTCGATCTTGACTTCGCCATTCCGCACATCGAGATTCTCATAGCATACTGGCTCACCCCACTTCTTTTTCCAGTAGAATTCAGATGCAATATCAGACCAGAAGCCAGCCGGGTCCTCAATAGACCTTTTGTACATCTCCAAGTACTGACCACGTCGAAACGGGACAGAGTCAGATCGACCCACCAAGCACTTGCTAAAGTGCCTCAACGACCCGAAGCCCAAAAAAGGAAGAACTCAAACCTGGAAAACAGAGGAAAGAAAAACTCTTACCTTTTGCGGAGATGGGACAAGGGCCTGCTTGCAAAATTCATCACTGGGGAAGACGAGATCGTTCTCTTCGGAGGCGAGAGCTTCGCCGAGGATCACAGCATTCAAATGCGAGATCCTGCCAGCCCCGGAGGGCAGAGTGGCCAGCGAATCCACGTGGCGCAGGTGGTGCGACGTCGTCAAGCTCCTGTCCGACGGGCGGCTGTAAGATCTCACCGAATCGTCCGATTCGTAAGATGCCATCGCCGACTTCCCAGCACCAGATCGGAGGTTCGGACGTCGAGGAAGACGGCGAAAGTAGCCGGGGTGGAGGTGGTCAAATCTGGAAGCGGGAAGAAATAGGAGACTTTTACATGCCACTGCAAGATGATGACTTTGAGGAAGCACCATCCTTGTATAATGTTTTGACACTCTTATTATATTGACCTAAACATGGCAAAACCACATAAATTAAATACCAAAAAATCTGCCAAAAAGAAGAAGAAGAAGAATTCCAAGAAATGGCAAACAATATCCTTAGTTGGTTTCTCTGTCTCTGTCTCTCTCTCTCTCTCCTGATATAGCCGTTCAAGATTGACCAGGAAAACGTCCAGGAACTACAGAGACGAAAAGGCTTACTTTCTTCAACGTCGCGACGCACGGCCTAACAGTAATCTCGCTGTTTGCCAAAAGGGTATCCACAAAAACGCTTTTTTACTCGATCATGAGGATGAGGAAGATGGAAGAAGAACTACTCTGCGACAACCCAGAGCGAACGAGAGAGCTGAGCTTTCATTGGTGGGCGGATTGACATCAGAGATTTTTGGTCAATTCTTTTATCCGGCTGTTGAAGACCGGGGACGAATAAAGAAATCCAGGCTTAAAGTGTGGCGAATTGAATAACCAAGAACGTTCAACGCACGAAAGGTCGACAAGAATGACAAGAAAGAATATCTTCTCGGGTTGACGAAGAACAGCAATCTGAATCTAAATCTAATCGAATCTCGCCAGACGGGCAGAGCCCATTTTTCTAAATCTCACGGACGCACACCTACTCAATGCACTCCATCTATCTCATAGCCATCGGCTACTGGGTCGACAGATTCGCAGACGAAGGACAACAACCATATCGGCATACATAAGCATAAAAATATACACACGTTACGTATAGTATGTAGAACTCAGGAGGGTGGAGGGGAGAAACAAGGAATAGGCAGAGAGGGTGGCGAGATTCTGTGGGGGAGGGTAGGCGTTGTGGGGTGATGGAAGAAACGCCGACGCAGAGAAGGAATGATTGCTCTGGGAGTAAAAGTCTCTCCAAAAGTTCCGAGGTTGATGATGAAGAAAAGAAGCTGTTTTGTGAGCTCGGCTGTTTCTAGATTGAAGTTTTACCTTTTTCTGCTCTTCTGTGGAGAAATCGCCCTCGATTCTTGTCTTTGATTGTAGGGACTTTTCTTTATTTCATTTAATATGCAGCTTTAATTCTAACAAATTTGGTCTTGAACGTGTGCTTAAAAGACTTCACTCGGGATGTAAAGTACAGACAAGTATTCCCTCCCCTCAAGAAAGATAAACAAATGAGGGGAACATGAGAGCTTGAGGGGGTCCGGCCGCCAGGACATAAAACAAGGCGTGTATGGGAGAGTCGGAAAGGATTTACTCTCCACCCTTCCAGGTAATGATCCTTAGGGTTAACAGTAACCAAAGACCCCAGGGTGAGCATCCCTTGGTTACTGTTATTGTCTACTATCAAATATGGGAAAAGAATACTACATGTTTTGTATGATGCTCCGGTAAATATTTTTTCAATCATTTGAGTATTATAACTTTCATATAGCGCTTATTTGAGTATTATAACTTTTTTTATTCAATCACTCGAGTGTCATAGAAATTTCCAATCGATCAATTCGGTAACATGACTTTTTAAAACGTTTACTATAGGTACCGTGTCACGTCAAATTTTTAACACTTGAGTGAACGTTTTAAAAAAGTTATAGGACTTAAGTAATCAATTGAAAGTTATGGTATTTAAGTGAACGTTTATTAGAAGTCGTGACATTCAAATGATCGGAAAAAAAAAGTTATAATATTCAAGTGAGCGTTGTACGAAAGTTACGATATTTGTGGTGTCAATCTCCATCAAATATGATTAGGAAGAGAGGCTCAATGTCTACTAACTATGTCAACTCACAAGAGTTATTTGTTGTTTCTAAGTCCTGGGACTAATTTTGAGAGCACAAATACTCAAAAGAGTATTAAGGTTGATGCCAACTCGCGGAGGAACGATTCTATTTGGTTCGTGATTTCTAATGTTGTCCTTTCGGAACTAGCATGTTAGACTGCTGTAAACTCTTGCCCATCTTCTATGTGTGTTCAAATGAGGTTCTTTTAAAAAGCCCACTTGCAGCCATGTCTTATCTCATCCTTACTTAACATTTATTAAAAAAAAAAATTAACCAAGAAGATTTTATCTTTCTCATCTAGAGGTGGCCACGGGCCGGTTTTGGCCCGGAACCGGACCGGAACCGGCCCGGTCAAACCCGGGCCCGGCCCGTTGACCGGGCCCGCGGTTCGGAACCGGAACCGGCCCGTGGCATACGGTCCCGGTTCCGGTTCCTGAAAAACTTGAACCGGCCCAGAACCGCCGGTTCCGGGCCGGTTCTGAAAAAAAAAAAAAAAAAAAAAAAGCCTGCCGGTGCAGGCTACAGCACAGCCTGCAGTGCAGGCCACGCTGCAGCAGCCTGCACCCGCAGGAGAACGGGCCAACGGACGGCCCAACAAAAAAAAAAAAAAAAAAAGATTTATTTGCAGCAGGGCCTGCAGACGTGCAGGCCCTGCTGCGCCGCCGCAGGCTTGCAGCCCGTTGGGGCAACGGCTACGCCCCAACGGGCATTTTGATAATTTAAAAAAAAAAAAAACACATAACCGTTGCAAAATTGCAACGGTTATGTTTTATTTTGTTTAATTCTAAATTTTCTTCTATTTTTTTCCTATAAATTCTCTCAAATTCTCACAATACACATACAATTCTCTCAAATTCTCTTCTCTCAAGTCTCAAATTTTCTCAATACTCGAAATTCTCTCAAATTCTCTGAAATTCTCTCAATTTTCTCAATCCACGCAATTCTTTCTTAATTCTCCCAATTAATCCGCTCAATTCTCTCAATCCATTCGAAAAATGGCAAGTGGAAGTCGAGTGCCAACTGGCAAAGGTAAGAATATCGCAACGGAATCCCATCATTCTTTTGATCCTCGTGAATATGCAGATTTTCAAGATGATGAAATCAACATTTTTCACGATGTGGAGCGCGTCCCGACGCAAGAAAGTTTTCATCCTCCTGCTGAAATATCTACAACAAAGGAAGCGGAACGGGAATTTACATCCGACATTTGGAATCACTTCACGAAAATGGAAAGGTTTGATATCGGTCAAAAAAGGTATGATCTAATTTGTAAATATTGTGGAAAAATATATAAATATACAGGTGGACAAGGATATGGAACATTTAAACGACATCTTGTGAGCAAACATCCAACTGAAACGGGAATCGATATCGGGCAACAACAAATTTCTGGGTACGTCAATCCTAACACTTCCCCTTTATTTCGTTTTAATGAAAAAACTTATAAGGAAGAATTAGGCAAATTTATTTCCGTTGAGCATTTAGCATTTAATTTTGGAGAAAGATTTGGTTTTAATGAATTTGTACAAAAAGCATGTGCTCCACAAGCAAAACGTGTTTCTAGAAATATAACTAAACGAGTAATTAAAGATCTTTACAAAAATGGAAAAAATGATTTACAAAACTTTTTTATGCAATTTAATGGATGCGTGCATATAGGTAGTGATATTTGGAGTGATCATTGGCAAAATCATTCTTACATGGGCATAACATGTCATTGGATAGATGACGAGTGGACTATTCAAAAAAGAGTTATTGCATTTAGAGTTTTCGATGATCATCATACGGCAAATAATATTTATAGACTAATTAGGCAAGTTTTAGAAGAATATTATTTGCTTAACAAAATTTTTTCAATTGGTTTTGATAATGCCGCAGCAAATACCGCTTCAATTGCCGAGTTAGAAAATATTTGTAAACCCGCTTTTGGTGGAAAATTTTTTCACATTAGATGTGCTTGTCATGTTTTAAATTTATGTGTACAAGATGGTTTGAAAACTCTTGATATTTTTCTTCAACCAATAAAAACGGCGATTCAATTTTTATGGAAACACCCCAAAAAAATGAAAGAATGGGGTAGATTTTGTAGAGATAATGGCAAAAAGCCAAAAAGATTTCCAAGAGATGTTCCAACTCGTTGGAATTCTACTTTCCACTTGCTTAGTGAATCTTTAGCATATAAAGATTTATTATGTGCATTCATTTCTAATAATATACCTGAGATTAATTTATACCCACAAGAGTGGCATATTTGCCAAAAAATTTTAGATCTTTTAAAGGTTTTTAATGATGCAACTTATACTTTGTCTGGTGTTTATTATCCTACTACACATTTATTTTTAGTAGAGTGTACTAATATTGTCGGAACTTTTGATGAATATGAAAATGATGTTGAATTACAACCTACTGTAGTTGCAATGAAAATGAAATGGCTTCATTATTATAGTGAAATTCCCATGATTTATTTAGTTGCTTGTGTTTTTGATCCGCGTTGCAAATTGGATGGCTTAAATGATTTTTTGCGTGCGTATTATCAATGTTTACATTATGATGTGACAAATGTTACAACCATAGTACGTGAGGTTAAAAACGTAGTAATAGAATTATATAATGAATTTTATACTAAATATAATTTAGGTGATATTAGATCTTCTCAATCTACGGAGATACAAAATGACAGTACAGGTAAAATTAGTAGAGGGTACCAACTTTTATTACATAAACAAAAAAAACAAAAGGGAGTAATAGGAAATATTTCTGAATTAGAGAGTTATCTAACCATTTTATTTGAGTTTCTCAGCTGAAGGTGGTACAGATTTTTTATTTTGGATTGGTGGAAGAGGCACGCAAGCCAATACCCAATCCTTTCTCTTATTGCAAAACAGATTTTTTCAACCCCTTGTTCTACAGTTGCGGTCGAACAAGCATTCAGTGCCGGAGGTAATATTTTGAACGAACATCGTTCAAGATTATATCCAGAATCAGTGGAGATGCAAGCTTGTGTTGCTGATTGGACGAAGGCTCAATACCGGCAACAAGAGATAGATCGGAATAATGAATCCGAATTCTTTAACGACGGAGATACTACCGCTACCACTATCGGTACTGGAACGGGTAGTGACGATTGAGAGTAAAAGAACTATTGGAGTTGGCAAATATTTCGGGAACTCTTGTTTCTCATACCGGGTATGCCCACGTGAGCTTAGGGAAACCGAAATATAATCCGACGATATGTGACCTCTGGTCCCCTGCGCACGGAATGCTTAGGTTTTGGGATAATTTTAGGGTATATATATTGTACTCCTTTTTTTTTAAGATCGTTGTAACGAATTGTAATGTGCTTAATGATAATTTATTAAGTTGAAGCCCTCTCTTTCTCTCTTGTCTTTTTGTCCCCAAATTTGAGTACAATTTACATTTTAATCACAATTTATATTGAATAATGTTCTATCACAAGAATAGTATTTTTTTAATTTTTTTTATTTTCATTTCTGTTTTTCCTTTTCTGTTTTTTTTTTTTTCTTTTCCTTTTCCTTTTCTGTTTTTCCTTTTTCTCTTTTGTCTTTTTCCTTGTTTCTGTTTTTTAAAATTATAATTTATATTTTAATTTTTTTTTCTTCCTCCATGCCGCGGCCGGCCGGCCATGGCCGGGCCGCGCGGAGGTCGCCGGCGTCCGGGCGAGGGGGCCCTCGCCGGCGTCGGGCGAGGCGGCCTCGCCGGGCCGGGCGAGGCCGGCCTCGCCGGACGCCCCGGCGAGGCGAGGCTCGGCCTCGCTGCAACCAGCGAGGCTCGACCTCGCGGCGTCGGGCGAGGCCGGCCCTCGCTGCGTCGGGCGAGGCCGCCCTCGCTGGTGGCGAGGCCGGCCTCGCCCGACGCCGGCAAGGCTCGGCCTCGCTCGCAATCGGGCGAGGTCGGGCGAGGCTCGGCCTCGCTCGAACCGGGCGAGGCTCGACCTCGCCGGCGCCGGCGAGGCCGGCCCTCGCCTGGGGCCGGGCGAGGCCGGCCTCGCCCGACGCCGGCAAGGCTCGGCCTCGCCTCGCAACCGGCGAGGCTCGACCTCGTCGGCGTCGAGGCGAGGCCGGCCGGCCTCGCCCGGCCCTAAGCGAGGGCGGCCTCGCCGACGCCGGCGAGGGCCGCCTCGCCTAGAGGCCGGCGACCTCCG